TGACTGAGGAAAGTGCCACGAGGAATGGGGCCACCGCCGGCCCAGCCATTCCAGACAAGCCCGCTGCTGTAACTTAGAACATAGGTTCAGATTGGGGACAGAACAGCTAGAAACCTTTTGCAACTTTTCATGGCAACAGCACAGATGGGGTCAGGGCCAGGGCCTGACCGTGGGTGGTTGGCCGCGACTCGAGTGGGCACAATCCGCGTGGGAGAGGCCAGCGGCACCACTGGGGCAGCATAATAGTACCCCGCTGGTGACGGCCTGCACCATGGGTCCGAGCTTTCCAGAAAATGCAAGAAAGCGAGATGGACTGCAAAGGTCCTGCTTCCCAATGCTGGCGACCGCAGCACGGACATCTCAGAGCACTGTCCGACAACTGATGTTCAGACGGTAGATGTTTTAATTTGTGATAAAAAAACAAAAATATGTATCAGAAGAGCAGTTGGTAATCATGCTGTGCTTGATGTTGTGTTTGATGCTTGAGCCAGTCGCAGATTCAAGTCTGGGCAGAGACACCTATCATGGATCACACACGCACTTTTGTTGAGGCCTGGGCCCTGCATCCACACAATGCCTGCCAAGCTGCCAAGTATCACAGGGCCTCAGAAAGCTTACTGAAGACAAGCATGCCATAGGTCACTAAGAAGTCACTGCCACGTGGACACAGCTGTCTTGCCTGGAAGCAGAGTCCGCCTCTGCTTGCTTCTCCTGCGCAGCCAAGCGCCAAATCCGCCATGCAGCGTCTGCAACTCAACAGCGCGTCACATGTCTCTTGCACTAAACTTGTACCATTCTGTACCACGCTCATCAGCGCGCCACTCTTAAAACTAGAACAGAGAGTGCAAGAGAGAGAGAGAGAGAGAGAGAGGAGGGAGAGAAGAGAGAGAGCGAGCATCAAGGGGCGCCTTCGAAGCCAGGATACTTTGCCCCGGTCCGTCGCAAGGGCAGCCGCCTTCGAAAGAGGGTTCCATATGTTCCATAAGGGTTTCTGAAGATTTGGAGGAACTTCCAAAGAAAGTTCAACTTTTCGGGAGACTTCGGGGAATTTCGAGGAAAGAGGGCGAGGCGATATGCCTGCATGAGATCCGTGACAGGCCATGGCGAAGCTTCTTCAGTTCCGCATCCACCAATGATGCCTTTTGAAAAGTGCTGAGACAACCTGGCTGCCTTGTCCTGAGGACGGCTGATGCTTCTGAGATGCTGTGGGGTAAGACTCTCCTCCATTCTAGTTTACGTTCGTTCCCGTGCCTGTCTGCACTTGCCGACAACATGCAAAGGATGGCTCGAACATGCTGGAACGCCCACAGGCAGCTGGCAACGTGTTGGCGCTGGGAGACGGGCTGTGACTACAACAGACGACTGCTGCGTGCAATTGCTTCGCTCGATCCTCTTCATGCGGCTGCCCGGCTAACGCACTTTGCACTGCAGCGGCTTCCGACCGGGCGGCATCGGGCGGTACCTGGACTACAAGCCAACCAACTCTGCAGCAGATCTACCCGATCCGACATTATCACCATCTGCTTTCGCAGCTACCCCAGCTTCATGGACTTGCGGAGGTTTGTACGCAAGCCAGTGGCTTCGCCATCATAGGTTGCGCCGTCTGCAGCTCCCTCACGCATCTCCTGCACAGCTCCCTTCCTGCGCTTGACCAGCTTGTCGTACTTCTCGCGGTTGGCCACACGCGCATTTCCCGCCTTCTTCTTGCCTCAGAAATGGAAGCATTTGGGCTTGCATGGGTACCATGACTATGGGTCGTGCTGCCCTTCGCCTTAGCAAACTGCATCTGGGCTCACTTGCAACCTGAGCGGCGGTGGCGCACCAAGCCTCTGTTCTCCAGAATTTGCTTGTTGGTTGCACGCCGCCCCTGTTCAGGTCTAGTGAGTCTAGTGACTTACTGACTAAGTGGAGAATGTCACTTGCAAACTCCCTGCCTCCACCTTCTTCTCCGGATGATACTGCTGCGCAAGCTTGGCTTTCAGCTTGGCCGAGCGTTCGGCTTCCTTCTGCTCCTTCCTGGCCCTGGACTTTGCGTTGGCCTCCTGGACCACCTCTCCCAAGCCATCCTCGTCGGCACCACGTCTGGCATGCTCCACCTTGACAGGATCCCCTGAATCCGCTTCTCGAGGATCCAAGTCTGTCTGAACTCGCTCGCGATGCGCTCGCGCCCGGGGCTCAGGATTCACATCTGAAGCCTGCGGAGCTGCCTTTGCCTTCCGCTCGCGAAGGTGCTGCTGCACCTCGGATAGCTGCTGGCTCAAGCTGGCAGAGGGCATCCACGCGCCCAAAGTCGGATCGATGTCATCCAGATCTGCTGGAGCATCGCCATGGTTTGCCCTACGCCTCGATGGGGGCAGTCGCAGCAGGGACGAGACCAAAGGAGCGATCGGCTCAGGCTCGCTCTGTTGCTTGCGTCCCACAGTCTTTCCCCGTAGCCGCGCCAAGCGCTCTGCAAGCGACAGGTTCGGCTTCGCTTCGGAGGTCACTCCTCTTGCTGCCGGCTGCGGCTCCGCCGGCTCCGCCGGCTCCGCTTTCTTGGCGGGAGCCGCATCGGCTTCCAGCACATCCGGGAGCTTCTTGGCCGCCTTGCAAGCCTTCTTCAACTTCACGCCCACGCGCTCATCGACGGATTTCATGAGTTCATCCAATTCCCGAAGCCAGACTAGCTGCGACACGACAGGATGCGAACGCACGTCTGCACCCTCGGCCTTCATCATCAAATAAAAGGATAAGTTGGTGAGGTGGTTCAACAGAAGGCTGACACGAGCTTCCAGGTAGGAAGCGCCGGAAGGGGGCAGCCGAGTCTTGGCGCTGGGTTTCAGCAAGGCCAGAAGTGGCAACAAGGCATTCACCTTGTCCTGAAAGTCTTGCAAGAGCGGAAGCAACTCCGGCGACTCTTTCTTTAGCAGACTTTTCCTGAGCTGAGCTGCAAGATGCTGCAAACGCGGTTCAAAGCCATTTATCTGCAAGCAACTCGGTCCATCCCAGCGGCCTTTTGGCATCAGAAAGTTGCGAAAGGTCCCTGTGGACTGCTCTTTTCTCGGCCTGCTCCGCGAAAACTGTCTCAAACTCAGCATCCATGTCCAAAGCTTTCGAAGTCTTTTCCACACCTGGCCCAAGCCCCCAAGTAGACGAACGCTGACAAGTAACACAAGGGTGGTGTATCTGTGGCTGTGCCTTACATGATCTCAGCTTCGAGCCTTCCCCAGAGCTTTGCCCGAGAAGTGCTGAAAGCGGGTCGCTAATGCTCTGCAAGCGCGCTGCTCGCAGTTCCTGTCTCAACAGTTCCAAGAACACCAGATACTGCAGTGCCTACAATGTTGTGTCGTGGGAACTGTGAACAGTACCGGACTCTCGAAACCCTCAACGGCGCACACGGGAGCAGATTGCCTCCAGCTTTTTTGCCTCCTTGAAGGTCAAATCCTCATCACTGGCGCCTTCAGAGTCATCCCCTGCATCCTCTCCTCCGTAAAAGTCGTAGCGGCCCCAGCCTTTGCTGGCAGGGGCAAGGTCCTCCTCAGGCACTTCCGCCGACCCTTTCTTTGACTTCTTTCCCTTGGCTCTAGGCTCTTGTGAACCATCGTCGAATGGTGCCAGCTGCATCACATCCTCTTCTCCTTCTTCCTCCACAGCTTCATCTCCAGAGTGCTCATCTAGATCCAGAAACTCATCAGCTTCGTCTTGCCCATAAGCTTCGATGCCACTGCGCCTCACAAATAACACAAGAACCGCAGAAGAACTCTTGTCGACAATGCTCACACTGGTCAGAGCCACGACAGGATCTGCCTGGGACGATCTCCTCGTCCCCGGCCTCGACCGCCTCGACCGCCTCGAGGCTTTCGGGCCATGGCGCTGGGCGCGAGAAAAATCAGAAAAGTCAGAGAAGTCGGGTGGTCAAACTGGGTCGCAGCAAGTTGGCTTCGTTTCGTGTCGAGTCGCTTGGACAGTTTCTGAAGGGAGGAGGAGCCAATGGAGTGCCACAGTGTCGCGCAAGAATAGATGCCACAATCCGGGGCTCGAGCATAAACGGCTCAAATGGAAGCAAATGTCACGGTTCAGCGGACAATTGCAACAGCAGGACAACCACCTTCACCAGAAAACAGAGTCCCCGAAGCACACAACCATCTGCCGGAGCATCCTTAATCTCTGCCGGAGCATCCGTAATCTCCAGGGTGTAAATTGCAAAATCACTCAGATCAATCTCGCTACCCAGGAACCCTCTCATCCAGAGTAACGCCGAAGTCAGCTTCAGGACTGACGGTCAGCAGGACCTCTTTGTCCAATCAGTTTCCTCGAGCTCGTCGAGTTCACTGATTCCGAGCTCAGTTCCTGCAACTTCTACATGTTGCCAGCGAAGCGCTCATGCTGGTGGAGATAGCTTTTGATCTGCTTGCTCGAGGCCTGTAAAAAGTCATCATCTCTAAGATAATTTTGATGGAGGTTGCCTGCGAATTCACGTTGTGGAACCTGTAGCCATTCGTCCCCGCTGCTCAAGAATCAAGCTTTTGCGGCATCGCTGAGCGCGTTGAGCCCCAACTTCCGATGCTTGAGAGAAGCCAGGCCCAGTAGCCACGTGTTTGCTATGGCCTTCTAGGAAGCAATGCTCTTCAGCCGTGCATGGGGCAGATGTCGATCCCTATGGTGTGGACTCTGGCCCGCACAGGCACGTCGAAGCTCTTGCAGCACGCTGTCGTTCTTCTGAGCTCCAACGAAATTCAGAGCTCACTTGCCTTTCCACGACCATATTTGGCGCAGGCCTGTGCAACCGAGGCCACTTTCACCACTGACAGCACTGGAAGTGGCCACCAGTTGTGCCAAGCAACTGGCGGCGTCCCAAAGAAGCCTTCGAAGTATTGCGTGGCCTTGCCCTTCGCCTGAAACAGAAGCTTTCCAAAGACTGATCTTTGCTGCGCTCAGGCGCCTGCCGATACGCCCTCCGCACATAATCACTGTACCAAGTCGCAGATACGTCCAGGTGAATCCTCAGCTGCATCGCAGCTGATGGTAGTTTCAAATACTAACTCCAACTACCACTTAACCAACATGAAATAACCAGTTGAAAAAACATGTGAACCTTGCGGTGAGAGCATAAGTTTTGGCTTGAGGCGCAGAGCCGGCCGGGCCCGGGACGCCTTGGCTTCTCCACTTGCATTCTTATGCGAGGACTGTGTGTGTGTGTGCGTTGCAACTGCCCTGCGTTGCTAAGACTCTGCTTCTACTGTTTAGGAGTGCGCAGCTCAGACTCGCACCGTCTGTGGGTCTTTCCGCAGCGCTGAACGAAGCGGGCTCGCGGAGGCAAAGAGCAATGGATCAAGCATCTCACAGGAGAGCTTTGAGCCGCAGAGTTCGAAGAGGCTCCAGTGCCTTGGATTCCGCAAATTTCCGCATTCCCGCACATGCAAGATGCAAAAAGGGCGCTGCACTTGCAATCTCTTTTCAGACTTTTCGGACTTTTCACTATCAGACTTTGCACTCAAGCTGAGCGAAAAAGCTGCGAGGTGCATGGCCGCCTGTCCCCAGCATGGCCCTGAAAAGATTCTTTCCCTGAAGCGCTGGACCGCACTGATTGCAGCAGAGCTCGGCCTCTGAAAAAAAAAAACAGCAACTTATTGTGCACCGGACTTTGCACAGGCTGCTGCACACATGGCACCCGCCTCATGAAGATGACTCCCGCGTTCACGGGCACCAGTTCACCCTGGCAGCACACAGACTCGCCATCGTGCAGCCGGGCTTCCTCGCACAGAGAGCATCGAAGCAAGGGCTGGCATTAACGGCAGAACTGATGATCTCCAGCCAGCTCCACCTCTCGTAGGTGGTCCATGTTGAGGGCGCCATCTCTGAACCACCTGGCACTCCAAGGCATGTGGAAGATCCATGTGTAATTTTCCGCGCCTGATGGAACCATTTCTGCCATCATATGCATCGCAGGAGCCTCAGTATGCTGCCACTCAGCAGATGCAAACCGGCTAAGCCGGCTAAGTGGGCAAGGCCGACCAGGCCGAGCAGGCCGAGAGGCCGAAAAAATCGACATCTGTTTGAAGTGCTTCCAAGTGGGGTCGCGCATCCTGAATCCAGAGTATGTCCTTGGCACTATGCAGCAAGAGCTGGTACGATGCAGCGCGATCCAACCCACCAGCGACATGTTGGCTGGCTTGGCATAAGCTCCGTGTGTCAGGTGCCATGCCAGCTTTCGCGATGGGTGGCTGTAGCGAATTAAGGCCTTGGCCCTGCCTCGCCCCATCCGGACCCCCCCTAAGCACCTTAAGGCCAGGGTGTGCTTCCTGATGGCTCTAGTCCCTATACCCTGCTGAGGTTGGCGAGTGAGGTCGGAAAGGGGTGTTCGCCTAATGCAACTTTGTGCGGCTGCAGCACGGTGTCAACGTAAAGAGACGTATATCCTGCGCGAAGGATGGACTCCATCCTGAAAAGAGCTCTCAATCAAGTTCATCAAACACTGACTCAAATTTCCAGCTCAATTTGCACCAGCAGAAACTCGACACTCAAGGAGAATTCTCAGGGCGCTGCGCGGCCCAACCTCAATTGCACACTATGGCAAGCGCTCGATTCTCAAGTGCTCAACACGTGTATTTAGTAAACCAGTACTGCCTGAGTAGACTACGCCAGTAATTGGAGTCGTGGATCTCGCCCTTAGAAGGTCCGGTGAAAACCTCCTGCCAACATTCTCAAGCATTTCACTGACACGTGTCGACATCGACACCATGAGTGAGCACACGGTACGGAAGGAGCATTCACTCTGCGGCTGCATCACTTGTTGTGTACGTTTTGGAGGCACCTGGCCTGGATCCACGACCGGGAAAAGAAGGCCGTGATGCCATAATCACCTCACTGACAGAAGATGCCTCGTGGAATGAAAAGGACTCACCGAACGATCTCTCATCCTGCTGATAGCGCTCAGGCACCTTCCCAGCGTTGTCTAGATCTCTCCGAGTCCACAAAGACCAAAAAGTCACGGCCAAACACTGATCTGGCACGGGCGCCACAGGGAAGCCACATGTCGAAAGCTAACTACAAGGTTACTACAAGCAGCACCTCGTGCGGCACATCCAGTGTTCCAGCTGTGCAGCAAAGCGAGACTCCTGTTGAACACACAAAAAAGCTCATGCAAGAAGGAACACGCTCACTCACGACACGCCGAAGCTTCCTCTGTCATGTCCCCAGTGTTGACAAACACGCTGAAGACCTCAGCTCTGATCTTCGGCTTCACATTCATCCCCCAGATGCTTGCTTGCTTGCTGACGTAGGCTCCTGGCGACAATCCCAGAAGCATCTGCTACTTGCTGGAGCTTTGAGTCCAGCTCTGTCGTAGAGAAGACGGGCTGTGCCTGACAGGACTGGCGCCTACACAACTGCATTTCGGCAACTGCGACATTCCACGATAGGTTGTCTCTGCAAGGGCTATACGAAAGATGCGAAAGTCTCTGAGCCTGTGAGACCTTGGGAAGGCATGCCTCCGATTCCGCGAACCCAGGCACCTCAGAAAGAGCATCTCTCTCAATGCCGCGGCAAGACGCAAAGCAGAATTCTACGCTTGAGTCAGCTCAACGTTGTTCATTGCGTCGTGTCGCAACCCGCAAGAAGGCAGTCCAGCAGCACCAGGGCGCCCCCTCCCCCTCCCCCGGCCCCAGAATTTGGAAGGTGCGTCCCCCGTGCCCTTGACCGATGCTGGCGTATGCTGGCGTAGCAGTGTGGTCACGCGTAGGCAAATCCAGCCGACTCGAGCTCGGATTTTGAAGCTATGCTTGCAGGAAGGGCGAAAGGAGGGAGGGAGGGAGGGAGGGAGGGAAGGAAGGATCTTAAGAGCCAAGCACCTTGGGGGGCATTTTGCGAGCCCAAAGCCAAAGCAACAACCGTGGGCAGCAAACTTGAACCCGCGGAGTGACAATGACCCTCCTGGCCCGGGGTCCTTGGCGCCGAGGAGGTGCAGAAAGAAAGGCTTGGGGAGGCCCACTTGAAAGCTCGCCCCACCGACCATACCTTCCCCTCAAGTTGATCTTCGGACTAGAACTCGGAGTCCGTTTTTTGAACACCCACATCCAATACAACATACAATACAACATACATGCAAGAAGAACCCGTTTCCTTCGAACCCTCCTGCGCATCCCCATCCGTACTAGGACAGCCATCATCTCAGGCCAGCACGTAATCAGGAAACCGCAGGTCTCCTCAACAAAACGATCACAAGCAGGCTTTGAGATGCTGGCGCAAGAAGGGCAACCCTTCCTGCTGTGCGGAGGATCAGGGCAGCTGCTGCACATAACCTGAGGCATGCTTGACACCGGAACTGGACCCACACACTTTTCAAAGCTTCCGAATGATTCGCCTCAACGATCAGTAACACACAGTGTCATTTTTCTCTCGGCTTCTCCCCTTCCCCCCAGCTTCCCTCCGAACCCCCACCACACCACAAAACGCGCTCTACTCCGAAGAGTCCGACCCGGTTCGCAATGCTCGGGAGCCGGTCCAAGTAGAATCGGCTTGTGATTACGTTTGGAACTTCTCAAAACGAATCCGTGGATCACATCATGGGGTCTCCATTTCAGTGGTCGCGAGATGCTAATGGGGAAAATGCCAAAAGACGGCAAACATCAGCAACCTAAACCACACTCGAAACTGAGTCTAAACCCTTGAAAGCCCTAAGCCCCTTGAGCCTTAAACCCCTTATGCGACGAGGTCCTCACAACCGGCGCGCGTTTGGAAACTGAATTCCTTGATTCTCTGGGGAACGGTTTGAGCCGCAGGCTGTGACGGCTCTTCGGCAACAGCCTTTAAGCACGGAAGTTGAGAAGAGTTCATCCGAGAGTGACCAGTACCCAAACGACTACACTAACCACTCAAAAATCAAATAACCAACACCCATAAGGTCAGGAGGACTCCTGCTTCACTGCTGCGGAGGGACTGTGTTCTTCACCCGAGCCCTACGCCCGTATGTTGCCGGGAGGCTCATCCTTTCATGTGCGAGCTTCCTGCATTGGCGGCCCCTGGCCCCAATTCTGGCGCACGTTTCTTCTGACCGGAGAAGAGCTATCACCGGCTGTGCGAACAAACAGGTGCCATTCAAGCAAGCACAACTCCAGACTGAACAACGAAATCATGTTGGCGAAAAAACACACATGTACTGCGGCCTTGGCTGAGACCCGGACCGGCAGGACGAAACCATGCGTGATGATAAAAGCTAGTGACGCAGCTCGAAGCATATTGAGTCGGCAGGAGCTGCTGCCTTTCAGAACCAGAATACCCTGCGGCCCAAGGAAACACAGGAAACACTGAGCTTGCTACAAGGACTCGAAGCTGATCCGCGTGCGAGAGACGCACCTTGGGTTTTCCTTGGCTCTGGCTTTGAGTTTATGCTTGGATTTTGCTTTGGACTTCCTGTACAACCATGTCCAATGCAAGAATCTTAGGAGGCTGTGGCTCCTGGACCGGAGGCGTTGGCTGACATTTGCATGTCCCATTTAAAAAGGGAAGCTAAGGTACACCGGCGGCTTAGCACACCTCATGGCGAGGTGCTCCTGATGGGCTGCTCAGGTAGCCAGCTCTTGTCAAAATCTATGGTACTGGCGGGCACAGCGCAGATACATTGCACGTTCGCCCTTACAAGCTGGAGAAGCTGGAGAGGCTGTTAATTACCTGTTGCACAGATGTCCCATATGTCCCATCAACAAGACTTGCTTTGCAAGGCTTGGCACTAAGAAGAGAAACACAATTTTCGACATTCCTCTGGACGCAACCTATGCTAAGCGCAACAGACTGCGCTGGTTGTCCACAGAGCAAGGGGTCTCCACAGAAGTTCACCTGCAGCTCGACTCACGTTCATGACATGTGCGCAAGCCAAGTAGCCAAATTATCTGGCACTTCCAACTCTCTCCCAAGGAGTGTACGCAATGGTCCTTCTACCTCTCAGCCCCAAAAAAGGCCCTCACATCCCTCACCCGGCCATGAAAGGCAGAGCAGCAAAGCCCCCAGGAGGCGGCCTCAAAGCCCAGGAGGCGGCCTCTGAGACGGGTCAGGGACGAGTCAGGGATGGGTAGCTCGGGTAGGTGTGAGGCTTTCGGGCTCTGGCATGAGGTGGGGCGAGTGGTGCGGGGATTTGGGTCTGTGTAGTCGATAGGAAGCTGCTGGGTCACCCTCGCACACGTTTGCTAGGCATTCTCCGGAGTCATGTCTTTGCAGAGCATTTGCTGAGCATTTGCCAGCCCAAGATGGAACAGAGGTCTGGGCAGCCCAACGGCCGGAGATTCCAAGTTCGGCTTTCCAAATGCCCACATTAACCTTGCGTGCTGCTCCTCGGACAGAGTATGTGCGTCTGCGCTCGACGCCGCTTGAGCAGCTACCTGACACAGTCTCTCGTGCTGTACGGAGGCCTTGGCAAAAGCCCACACTACAGAAGAAATATCATCCAATGTGCGCTCAGGTCTCTGGCAAATGCAGTTTCCAAGCCAGTCAAACATAGGCTGCTTGTAGTACTCCAGGCGAGCCGAGGCAACTGCAACATGCGCTAGACTTCGAGCAGTCAACTGGTCGATCCTCCACATTAGCTCTACCGTGGCAGCTGCCATCATTGCCTCATGAAACACATTGAGCTCAGAGAAGGCATACAAGCACTTCACCAGCTCCTCGGCAGAAAAGTCAGATGAGCGCTCAGCAAGCTCCTCGCCGATGTTGGCCAACAACTCGTCGTCGCGGAGCTCCGCGCATGCCAGTACCCAACACAGCCGCGTCAATGAGGCAGGAGAGACGTGCCGCAGGCCCTTTCTCCCTATCTCGAAACACGATGCCTTCAGGATGTCCCACCTGATGTGTCGGGTGCTGACTGCCGCCAGAGCGACACAAGTCAATGCGTGTGGCGCGTACGTGGCCAACTGTTGTGGCTGCTGCGCGACGTAGTCCAGTGCTGCTTCTACGTCTTCTGACAGCGCTGAAGGATCATCAAAACCATCAAAAATGTGCTCTGCCGATGCGCACATTGACTGCGCATCAACTTGACTTCAGAAAAGACATATGGGACAAAGCTACCGACATCCAGTTGAGCCGAAAGAACCCGAAAGATCCCAAAGCACTTGTGACAGGAGTTGGCATGGAACTTCCTCGAACTTAAACAGAGAATCTCATCCACGACTTCTTCTGAAACTTAAGAACAACACGGTGACGTCTCACTTCTTGTGCCTCACTGGCGCATGTTGTGTTGGTGGATACTTTCGTGAAGAAACACCTTGGCCCAGGAATTATGTTATGATTCTCATGCACAGCAAACCAAAAAAACAGTCACGAATACCCAGGAGAGCTGGCATAGTGGCTAATGGGTGCGTGTCTGCAGTCGGGGTCCAGACGGCTGTTCCCACTTTGTACAGTATCACGAACATAACATTAAGCTGAGCAACTGAAGCTGCTGCTGGCACTTGCACTTGCCTGCAGCACACATGTTTGGGACTTGAGGAAAGCCGCTGGAGCTGATGCTAAGCCGCCATCTCCGCCATCTGGGCCATCTGAGCTCCGAGCTTCCGCGCTGCTTTCCTCTCCTTCCGCTTCAAGTGGATGGAGCTTGGATGGTCCTCAGAGCACCAGCTTCAAGTTCAGCCGATGCCAATGGTGGCATGCGCAGAACCACAAAGACCAGACTTGGGCCTCGATTGAAGCATGGCCGCGGCGGCGACACCTTGCGTGCTGCTTTAGTTCCATGTGCTCTCAGCGCCTGTCATCCCAACCTCAGCAAGTCTTGCACGCAGAAGCGCCGCGAGCTGCTCGTCATCACAGCGGCTTACCTGTTGCACATGCATATTTTTTAATTGCGATGCCATCAACTCGCCCAGCGCGATCACACATTCCACCTCATACCAGGGCAAAACCACAACGGTATGGCCTGGGCGAATGCGGCGGATGCAGCGGATGCGGCCCGTGCACAAAGCCCAACGGATGACAATACTCGCCAAGGGCACCCAAGCACCAAAGCAAGCGTCTTCTCAGTGCTGTAGGCAGGAACCCTCGGTTGTCAACAGTGGAACCTATATTCACGGCATACACCATCAGTTCGTTGGCAAGGCATGGCCACAAAGATGAACAGCTGCGCGGCGATGCGCTTTGCCAGAGTTGATGTCAAAGAGCAAGTCTCCCGGTCGATCTACCTGCGTGACCGTTGGAAGTAGGTCCCGAAGCCCAACAAGTGCATGTGCACACGGTGGATAACCAATAGAACATACTAGGGCCATGAAGGGTTGACTCTTCCTTGGTATTCCGCTACTGAAGCTAATCAAGGCACAGGGGGGAAGCGGAATCAACCTGAAACTGATGCTTCGTCTTCACACTCAGCCAGTAAGATCTTCACATCGGAGCTGTCTTGTTGTTCAAGCATAGTCATAGTTTCCGTTCAAGCCGACCCGCCCGGCAAACCCCCAAAGACAAGCAACGTTTGATACAAGTCTCAAGGAGACAGACCACTTGCCTCGATCGACACCGTCGACGCGGACGAATCCCTTAGTCGGATGTCGCAGCCGCTGCATGCAGCTGCATTATCAAGCAAAGCTGTAGCACAGCTGTCCTCTGAGGCTCCAGCATCATGGCAGAGGAGCTGACTCGAATACTCAAGGGCAAGCCTTGCAGAGCACCCCAGGTGCAAACCATTACGAGTACTTCTCTGGTTGCACATGCTTCTGAGCTGAGACTTGCGAGATACAAGAAGGTGCACTTGGCCAGCTGGCGGGAGTGACTACAGTGACTACAGTGACTACAGTGACTGCAGTGACTGCAGTGACTGCAGTGACTGCAGCGACTGCAGTGACTGCAGCCCTCGAAGGTCTGCAAGGCGAAAAAAAAACAAGAGCCTCGAAACTCCCACAAAACAGAGGGTTGCCGGACTTCGGGCCGCAGCTTGTAAGAGGCTGCTTGAGCTGACAGGCACTTGCATTCGCTTTGTAAACGTGCTGTGGGCTAAGGGGGTCGAGAAGGCCCTTTGCCACAATACGAGGTTCGGGAAGGAGTACACCTTTTTGGACGCTGTCTTTGCTGAGCCAGCAGAAACACTTGCCGATGCATCATCTGCTCAAGACGCTACTCTCGAATCCATGGCCGCTCATGAAGGCTTGCTAAGTCTCTGCGGGCAAGTCTCTCTGCTGACCTTCCAATTGCAGACTCTCTACACTGCTTGCCAGTGCTCAGTGTCGCGCATCTGATGTCAGGAACAGCCGAAGCCAAGCCGACTGCGCTTGGTACAAAGGTACGTGCCTGTGAAACGATTGAAACCACAAGTGCGGCTCTAAACCGGTGTCCAAAGTGTCTGATGCGGTTTCTGATTCTGACCGTTCTGACCCAGCTCCGGTAGCACCACAAGGCGCAGGAAGTCCACCGCCATGCCTTCCGTCCAAGCCTGAACGTGAAGATCCTCATAACACAGCCGCGGCACCTGGTTGATCTCCAGGAGCCAAGGCTTCAGGCTCTTATCACAAATAAAGTCCATACCAAGAAGCACTGTGGAGCCTTCTTCCAGACTCGGACTGAAATGCTGCATTATGTCGGCGACAGTTTCACACAGCCTCGGGAAGACAACGTCGTAATGGCGGTAGTCTGTGGAAGATGCCGCCGGCGTGATGCGTCCGTAGTGGGTGCAGTGGGTGGCTTGACTAAGACCCTGCCCAGGACTCATCGCTTTAGGCGCTTTCCGGACACCGATCTTCTGGTAAACAAACACTTTTCGCGGACTTGATGCGGTACAACAGACATACACTCGGAAGTCCTCTTTGTGGCCATCAGCGAGCGGAGAGTCTATAGACCGTTGAATGACGATCTGACGGCCAACAGGCCTCGGCTTGCAACCCTTTGCTCTCCTTAGAGCTGTGACAGACTGGGTGGCCTCAAGAAATGCAATCTCGAGCAAATCCCTCAGTTCTTCTGCTGTCTTGGGACCGTGAAAGGGACGGACACCACACCCGTAATCAACGTCGGAGAGCTTCAGAAACCACAAACTCTCGTGGCCCTCCACATTCCGCCCTGCGGCGACAAACTCCTCCACGCTCAAATACGTTTCAGGCATACATCCTGAAAGAGAAGGATATTGCAAGAGCTCTCTCGCAAGGTCGTACTTGTCATGGCAGAAGTCTTTCATCTTAATCGTGACCCGACGCGACCCCAACTGAAACCCTCTCCACTGCATCAGATTGCAGAAATCAGCCTCCAGTCCAGTCTTCCGAAGAGCAGTCAACCAGGTTCCGTGCTGGCACGGCCCCATGTTCCACCGGATTCGCGCTCCTCTCTTTTGAAACTGAGAAAGGGATGCCTCCGATGCAGCGCGGGTCTGGAGCGCAGGTGGTTCCAGTATGCTGCGCCCGAGCAACACTTGACTGGACGGTCGGGCGGGCTTCTTCAAAGCAAGGACCTTGCCACCCTTGCCCATGCCAACTACATGCAAACAATGTGACAGGAAGTCCTCCTCTCCATGGCTGGCAGTGGACATGGATCAAGCACTCTCATGCGTAATGGTTCCATTCAACAGTTCAGCCCGCAACGTGCAAAAAAGAAACTCCATGAGCGGTGGTCGAACTTGAGTAGCTATAGAGGCTGAAAGCTTCTTCCTGCAAAGTAAAGTTAACTGATGGCGGTTAGCCCACTCTGAAGGTTCGAGCGCTGCACCAGAACATCGGTGGTCATGAGAAGCCCTCATGGGCTCCGATCTTTCGCAATCTTCCTTTTGGGGCCCCAGCCTTCCGGCGTAGAACTTCCCAGGGAAGGAAGCAAGTCCATGGAGATAAGCGCTTGGCAGATGGGCTCGGCCTGTCCCAGCATCAAACAGCCAGCAAGTGACTCCCTGAGCTCCCATTGCAACTCCCAAGACCACCTCTGCCGGTATATCTGGCCGCACTCGAGACATCACTGAACTCGCTTCCACAACGTGCTTCCTGCCGAGGCTCCCTCTTCACTTCATCTTGGCACACCAGCGCACTCCACCCCAAGCACCGCTGCTGAAGAATGGTCCTCTGTGCCGCTGAAAGACTACTCTGCTCACCTGGAAGGACAGGACCAGCAATGAGGACTAGCGGTGCAGGGTCACAAGCCGCACACAGCAAGCAACTGCAGCCTCCACCTTCGATGCGAAGAGCAAGATCTGCAAGGTGAACCTGCCGCACATGGCCCACACACATTGCCGGCCACACACTGTGCCAGCCACACACAGACACACACACACACACACACACACACACACACACACACACACACACACACACACACACACACACACACACACACACACACACACACACACACACACACACACACACACACACACACACACACACACACACGCACAACACACACAGCACAACAAAAGAACGGCATGAACAGCTTCTGGTTTGCAAGGAGCCTGGCACAGGGCCACAAGCTTTGGTGTGGGAACGAAGCCTGTGCCACTGAGCACCAGCTCCTCCTCAACATGGACAACCCTTCCAAAAGATGGACTTCAGCTAGGCAGGTGGAAAAGAAGCATGGTGATTTGCACAACTGATCCATCGCCTGTGGCTTTGGTGCCCAAAGTGTCCTGTCAGAGGCTTATAGCGAATCTGCCCTGGAGCCCTTGGATCTCAGGCCATGTTGGGGAGCTGAGTTTCCAACCACGGCGTCTGATCCAAAACTGCTCCAAAAATGTCCTTGCGAGGGAGTGACAGCGCTCTACTCTTTGTAGAGCTTGATGGGCACATATATGGCATCTACAAATACATATCTATATATATATATATGTGTATATATATATATATATGTGTGTATGTGTGTGTGTGTATGTATGTATGTATGTATGTATGTATGTATGTATGTATGTATGTATGTATGTATGTATGTATGTATAGAAATATATCTCTTTCTCTCTCTCTCTCAAAGGAGTCCCTGCCTCGTAGCAGCTTTGCAAGCTTAGGCTCCAAAAGATCAGGGCACGTTCCTTCCGTGTCATACATTGGCTGACTGATGGCATGGATGCATGACTACGACAAGCCATGTTTGCTGCTGCATGTTTCCGAAGCACCTGTACCAGGCCATTCGAGATCCCAATCCCAAAAACCAAAAACCCAAATGCCACACAAGGTTTCTGCTGCCACTCGGAGCACAGCCTTGTCGCGTAGTTTTTGGGAAAAGGCTCTCCACATCCCTCCACATCCCCAGAGAACCTATCTTCAAGAACATATGTTGGGAGATGTGGGGTGTATGCATCATGCAACAAAAAAAAACAAAGCAACATTCTCACAGAGGAAGCAGAAAGATGTGAAAAACTTGACTGACGTGAGTGGAGGCCTAAGTATGTTGCCGAGCAACCACAAAGGGGGTTGCACGGACAATTAAACCGGGGCGACATGACATGGCAACATGGCGGCAGGTTCTTTTCCAAGCAGTGATGCTTGATGACATGCTGCAATTACAAGTTAGCGCATCAATTTACTTTCATTATGCGGGGTTGTGATGGAAGAATTTTGGACTGGGTAAAACGCACATACAATTTAACACTACATTTATAAGCATCGCTTGCGCATGAAATTTATACATTGAAAAGGGGCTTCTCAACGGTCAACCATCATGTCTTCGACGTAAAGGTACTAATCATACGGGTGAAAAAGACGGACCCAAAACCCCACATCATGCGAAACCTGCAGAAGCAGGCCGAAGCAAAAGGGCTTTGGGACGTGTTCGGGGCTTGCATGGCTTATGGATTATGGCTTTTGGTCTCGCCTTCAAGCTCTCCGAGCTTTCAGGGCTTGCAGGGCTTTCGGTGCATGGATGCCTCTGGCAGGAGCTCCACCACGCGGGCCGTCGCAGCACATGCCAGGAGCTTCAAGGCGCGGATCACGCGACCCCCCTGATGTCAAGCAGAGTACCCCGACAATACGCAGTCCAGATCGCAGGCAACATGAACTGACCAATGGCGGCAGCAATGCAGTCATGGAAGACAACACCCCTTTAGGCCCTCAACCCCAGGCTTTGAGGCCCTAAGCCCAGGGTGTGACAAGACCAAAAAGGGCATGTTCTCTGAGAGTCTCTGAGGTCCGAGACCCTTTCCGGAACCATGGCAAGCCCAGCGATGCAGCGAGCAATGACCCACGCCTCACATTTGAAGCGATTTCGATGAGTTTTGCCAGTTTTCACTCACAAGAATTTCACGCAAATTTGAGAGCCACGCCGGGAGCTTGATCTCTCCGCTGTCAGCCTGGTCGAGGACTGTCAGAACCTGACGGCGATGCACTCCGAGGTGTGGGGCAACTACTCCATTATTCGTGCTGCGCACGATCCAGCCGCCAATAGCCAATAGCTCAGTATTCAACTTTGTCAGCCGTGGCAACTGCAAGCGCTGAGGCCGAAATCCTGGACAATCGGTGCCATCAAGACAATCAATCCAGCACGATCCAGCAGGCGCAGCACGCTGCCCGCACCCGGCGGTCGCCAGAAGGCAGAGGAGCTCCGCAGCAGGCACAAGCTGCTCCACTGGAGCTCCAGCCTTGCACAGCTTTGCATCCATTGCAGACATTTTGGGGGAATAACATGGAATAACCCTGTCCCGAGCACCGGGTTAAGTACTCAATTTAAGCAGCCCTTTACCCTTTACCGGCCTCTCCGAACAGAACACAGGAATCGAGAATAATTGACCTGAAGCTAAAGGCGTACGGGTTGGGGCATCTTTTCACGCGCAGGTTCCAGCCGGGAGTCACAGCGTCTGAAGCTTTCGCCGGCGGATGTTCCCCCTCTTGCTCACGACCCTGCTGCCGACTCCCATGCCTTCCAGAAACCATGGTGCAGCGTAAGGCTGCATGGGGCTCGGGGAGCCATCCCCAAGCCTAAGATTCCGAGTACTGTTCGGTTCCCAGGCGATCTCGCCTCTCAACACAAGGTTGACACTACCTAGTGCCGACTCCGGCAAGCAAGAGTATACAACGAGCTGACCCACCGAAAAGTCGAAGGAATGCACAAATGCGTACGCCACAAATTCAATGGCGACAGCGTGGGGCTCCAGGAGGCCCAAGTCCTCTGGCGAGCGGACCTCTTGCAACTCAGACGGAGCCGGATTTGCCGGATTTCCCGGATGAGCACAGAGGGCAACCACTGTGCCCGTTAGCGCCGCTTCCACCTCTGAGTGAAGCAGATGCCCAGCAATCAAGCCGAAGCGCAGCCCTTTCATTGTAAGGCGCCAGCGGGGAACCGCTGAGAAGAATGTCTGCATGGCCACCGCATGTGGTGGCATGCAGGGGTCAAGATCTGGCTGAAAGTGTCCTGCTACCCGAAGCCATCTCAGCTGCGCTGATGTGGGAGCCGCGGTGCTGCTCCTGGCAGCCGCGGACTCCACATCCACCAACACCAAACCCTCGCAGTCGGATGTTGGCTTCGTGGAGCCCTGTGTGGAGCGGCCGAGGGCGCGCGCGAGTGGGCCGCAGCGAGCCAAGGAGGTCCGGCGAGGCTTCGGCTGCAAATCCGGAGTCACCGCCTCACTTTTCTCAGGTGTCTCAGGTGTCCCCGAGTCCATCCTGCGCTTCCTCCGGACCTCTGAGGGATGCAGCCGCAACACGAGCTGGGCCCCGGAGATTGCAACGATCTGCTGCACCAGCTCTAGACCCAGTCCAGTGGTCCAGCCATGTGAGTTCACCATCAGTGGGGCAGGCCGCACAACTCCCATCTGGGCCTCCTTGTAAGCTTTGAAAGCAGCAGCAACCGACGCAACGAAAAGCTCCGGATGGGTGGATGGTGTAACGGCACCTGCAAAAAAGGCGGCCAGGCGCTGATGGTGATGCTGCTCTGCATGTGGCACTTGCAGCAAAGGCTGCGTGATGCGGTGCAGTGTCACAACTCCAGGAGGACCGAGTTCTGGCTGGCCCAGGTCAGTCTCCAGAAAATAAACTTCTGGGCATTCCGACAGCAAGGAGTTTACAAAATAGCGGCAGCAGGTAGATTTGCCGACTCCTTTCGGGCCCATCACCAAAAGGACTGGAGGTTTCTCGCTGCAGCAATGCACCGACTCGACTAGAAAGTGCCGCAGTATGCTTGGCCAGGCACGGTGAGCCGTCAAGCGAGGATGATCCGAAGGAGTCATCAGGGCAGCCCGCAGGTGCTTCAGGTGCCTCAAAACCATCTCGGAATCCTCAGCATCTCCAGTGCCCATAACAGTGCCCACGGTGCCCACGGTGTCCACATCTCTGCAGAGGCGCAGGCATAAAACAACAGGCCATCGGTGGACTGCCAAGAAGTCTTGCACATCCTGCACTTCTGCAGCAGCATCGGAGCCCAAGGATTTCCCACGCAAAGCCCTCAGTCTCGGCGTTGAGCACCACGGAGGGACGACAAGGCGCCGAAATCTCTTTGAAGGGAGAAGGCTTGCACCCCATATCTCTGCGCAGCCTCGCAAGACTCGTACTTCCAAACTGCCAGACAGGCTTACCTCCTCGCCAACCCGTAAAGGTAGGAGAAACTCCACCTTTCCTGAGCTCTCATGTGGGAGGAGCCGCTTGATGATACGCTGCGAGCGGTTTTGCTTGCTTCCAGACCAGACTCTGTGGCTCATTCGTGGAACACCTTGCCCATGATACCATACGCCACCTACAAAGATTACGAAGACTAGCCTTGAAATTGCACAGTTCGCAGCAAAAACACTTCAAGAAGCGCCCATGAAAATGGTGAGATCTTCACAAGCTCGGCTCAAAAAGCTTGGGAATGGCTGCGCAGCCACGCGTCCACCATCAAGCACAAAGGACAAGGACAGGTCTGCAAACGTGCCAAGTGGCAAATGGCAAGGACACGCAGCACAGAGAGTTCCACAGGCTTCAGGCACAACGTAGACATACGTCAACAGGACTGAGCTTGGGACTTCATCAGTCTCCTGAATGCCACTTGTCCAACGACGAAAGCCACCCGCATGTGCTGATATAAACATCATGCCCTCTTTTTGTCCTGCCTTCATGCATGCAGTTGCAACATCGGCCAGCGCCCTGTACAGCTCCACCCGCTCCACTCCAAGGTGGGTGAGCGCCTCGGCACCCAAAAACTGCTTCCAGTCGGAATATCAGAAACTACCATTTGCATTGTCGATGTACTGCAAAGCCAAGGCTCCTGGGCCAGTTCTGCAAGTTCGGGCAGCTGCAATCTGTGGAGATGGTTGTCACAACCTGCTTCTTCTGATTCAATGCTCGCGGCAACAGGGTGGATCATTCTGTGGATGTTGAAGCTTGATGCCACTGGAGTGCTTCTGTAAGAACACTGGACAGGTCGCACATGGGCGGCGGCCTCCGGCATCGGGAGGCAGCAGTATGGGGATGGCCGCCTTCACGGGAAAAGACAACCATGCATTCGAGCTTGCAAAGTCCAGGAGTGCAACTGCCAGTATCACTGGTCACAGCACAGCACTGCATCCCTGCAGGCACCACTGTGACAGCCCCTGGTCTTCTCAAGGTCACAGGGGGCAGAGCAAACTGCACAAGAAACCATTCGAGTTTTGTCTTCCGTGCTGAGTGTATGCATCAAGTCCGTGAACCAACCACTTGCGTCTGCCACTAAGAGGGGTGGAGTAAGCTGAATAAAGAGGCCATGAAATGACCATGTCTATCTGACAGACCATAATCAGCGAAGGTGTTCTCACTCGTGCAAGCCGCGGCAAGCCTGAACCAGAGACTCACACTGCGCTTCGCACTGGGAGGCCGCCCAAAGCACCTAAGAGGGGACTCAGTCAAGTCAACTGAGTCGCCTTTGCGAAGCCTTTACAAAGCCTTTGCAAAGCCTGCGTGAGGGCAGCGCCTTGAAGCCCTGTCATTATCTACATAAGTCAAACATTTTAAACAGGCCAGGAGAACGCCGACTAAGCAGGCAGGTGAAGCCTGATACTCGTCCAAGCGCTGCAGCGCCTCTGCCAAAGACGCAGCGCAAAAAGGCTGCAGGTAAGGCAGATCAAGGTCAAATGAAGAAAGGCGCGTCGCTTTGTTTGCTGCCATGTTGCGCGCGCACAGGTGCGTATGTGTGTGTGTGTGTGTCTGTTAGATGGCAGAAACGGCAGGTCTTGCACCCAGCTTGCACCCATGCACCTCTCGCACTGCCGCGTGCAGGAATGTGTTTATTGCCTGCACTCAGAAAGAAAACACAAGCATGATGCAGCCATCTCAATTCAGGAGACAGCCATTGTTGCCTCGCGAAGCTCTGAAGGGGGCTCCGCCGACGCCTGAATGATGATGCTGGAGATGACAGCTAGTGATGTCTGTGATGTTCACGCGGCTTGCCTGATACTTGTCTGCGAGGGGTCCAGTGGCAGCTGCTGCACGAGCCTTTGAGGAGAGAACGCATTCTCCGACAGTCGGGCCACGAACGAAAAGATAAAGGGCTGAGTATCCGGCAAAGACTCTGGACAAGCATGCGAGGTCAGAGGACTTCACAGAGGATCGGCGATCATCCTGCGCGCGACTTCTTACAGCAAGTTCTCTGAGGTGCTCCCAAAATCATCTCCCATATGCCCATATAGTTCATGTTGGACCCTATTTCATGTTTCCCCCCCCCCCCCCCAAGCAGTCGAAGCTGAGTTGGACCCTCTTGAAACGGACACCCGGATTTGAGGCAACAGGCCAGGCCTTTGAAATCCAATCCAAGGCGCCCTTGCTTTACTAAGATTTCAAGAGCCTGGCATGGACAGCAAGAGGCCAGGTCTTTGAAATCCAGAACCCCTACAGCCTTGGACCCAAGAGGCCAGGCCTTTGAAATCCGAAGCCCGCATTCAAGAGCTTGGCCTTTAAGCCAAGAGGCTTGGCCTTGGAAAACAAGACTCCGCTGCTTCAAGACCCAGATCTTCTACATTCAACACCCGCGGCATAGGATTTGAAGGGTTGGCCTTAAGATTTCATGGGCCTGGCTTTTAAGCCAAGACGCCAGGCCCTGGAAATCTAAGGCACCTTTGTCTTATGATTCCGAGATGCTCGGGGACGGGATATACAAGAAGAGAGTCCCAACACAGTGCCCATTTTCGGAGGGGCTCCTGGACCCCTGGCCGGATTGATCGGAACTTCTTGTTCTTATGTATTTGTGTGAGGGAGTTCTTGTTTTCGGCTCAGTTGGGATTCCTGGTTTCGGGGTCCTGGAAAGGAGGGGTCTGCGAAGCCCAAGCCCCTTTAGGGCTCCTGCCACTTGCAGAGTACCAAATTTGGGCTTCGGCGGTCCTTAAACGCCATCTTTTTTCTAAGCATATATCAACACACCCCAAACCCATACTCTGAACCTACAAAAGGAGAATACAAGGCACAGGGGTACGTTGAATATTTCTCAGATGTTTGGATTCCTTTTGCTATATTTTTTCTGTTTGTCTTAGGGTCGCTCTTTGGGGCCCGCGTCCCAAGATTCTTAGGTTTTTGGGTACCTATTGTGTATTGCTGAGGTCTATAAATTCTGCTTGGCTTGGGGGGTCGCTTCTTTGGGGCCCACGTCCCAAGTGCATCCCTGTGAAAGTGTGACCGGTTCCTTCGACCCTAATCCCTAAACCCGCAACCCTAAACCCGAAACCCTAAACCCGAAACCCTAAACCCTAAACCCCTACCGCGTTCTGAGGTTTCCTATTCGGGGATGCAGATGTGTCCGGCGCCGAGAGGTCATGTGGTGGGGTGCAGGGTTTAGGGTTTAAAGTTTAGGGTTTAGGGCAGGGCTTTAGGGTTGAGGGGTTCAGGAATTTTGAACGCAAACCGAAGCGGTTTTAGAACAAGAACAGAGGAAGGCACTTGTCTTTTAGAGGGACCCACCCACCGGACCCCAAACAGTTTCCAGATCCTCGGTAGCTGGGCAAACTCGTTTCCCCCAACTCAACAGGGTCCAACATTCCGCCTGATCTCTCGACACATGAAAGCGCTCAGTCCTTGCTTCTCAAGAGGTGCCGAGTGGCCTTCAAACAACCCAACAGCCAAAGTAGCAATCGCTCTCTTCCAGTGCAACAAGCTTGAAACTGAGCTTTTCGTGTGCTCATGAGCGCCTTAGAGGCCGCCTGCCTGAACAAGGCCTTGGAGCGGGATTTGTGGCCCGTGCGATTGGGAAGTTTCCCATGAATTGATTTAGGGGAGTCACTACACGCCACTACTTTGCAGCCACGAGCTGTCCAAAACCACAGAACATCCTGGAAATTTTCGGCTCCCGGCTTCGCCACTTGTCGAGGCAGAAGTCAGGCCAAGCCCACTCAGGGAGCGCAGGAAGCTCGCAAGCTCCTGCGGCATGTCATGTCATGTCATCCTCCTGCGCAAGCTTTTGAAGGACGAAACACTGTGTCAATACCCGAAAAATGATGTCACGAATGCCCCAGCCGAGTCTTGCACGGGGACCGTCGAGCCCGTGCAAGCCTTCAAAATAGGTTTTAAAAAGTTCCAAATTAGTTTTCAAGGCTGCCTCCTTCAACGAGTGCACAAAAATGCCGCTCTCGGCTTTTTGCAGTTTTTTGGGTTAGTGGTGGTGCTTACACACCGGATCGGCAAAACTTGAGCAGTCTTGACATAAAATTCTGAGCTTTCGCGGGAGAGTCCTTGTGCGACATCTGTGGCAGAACTTTGTCTCCATGCTCCGCCTGAAAGGAAGTTTAGACCGATGAGATGCTCTGCGAATGTGTTGGCAGCTCAGGGCGCAGCTAAAGTTTCCAACAGTGACGGCGACGCTTGGCCGATCTGAAGGAACGTCCTAACAGCATCTAACAGCATCTAACAGCACTATCGACCACCCTTCCCTGCTCCACCAGCTATGTTAAGCACAAAACATCGCGGAGCTGAGAGGTGGGCTTTGCAAGAACAACCAGCTCGGCCGCTCGCAGCTTCGGCATGCGACGCTGTGCCTGATCCCGCAAAATCTAGGGTTCCAATTATGGGCCCTTGATTTGGGTCCCTTGTGATACAAACCGATAGACTATAATATGGGCCCACACTTCGGATCCCTATAACCAAGGGCAAGGGACCACACTTAGGGCCCATGGTTCCAACCTTAGATAAAGGGCAAACTGCAACTGTACCGACCATGTCTCTGTCAACACTGGCACAGGCCTCCTCGACGATATCCTCACGAATTCTCAAAGAGGACGTGACCAAAAACAAGAAGCAAGGCTTCTGCAAGAAACCGGGCCTGCGCAAACGTTGCTTCTATGGCTCCCGCTGCTGCGAATATCTTGAGCAAACCTCAGGCAACGTGGTACGGAGCTACTGGTAATGATGAAAATCAGCTTACAAGACATGGCCTACACAGTCCTGCACAGCCCGATCAAGGTCCCCACGAACAAGAACAGGAGTCTCAAAGTGCTCCAGGTTTGCTTGAACCTCACAGCTTGAACATGAACCCATCGCTTGAACAGTCAGCTGGGTCAATGCCTCGCGCCTTGGAGGCAGCCTGGCAATAAAAGTCTCGCTTGTTGACTGGCACCTCAAGAGGACACCCTCTGCATGCATAGAAACACATTGCCACCGGCAGCATCCAACAGTGATGCTGTTGCAACGCATGGTGTCACACGCAAGAACGACGTAAACGCCTGCAAGTGCCTGGCTCCTGCAGGACATCATGCAAACGATGGAATTTCCTGAATTGCCGCAGCTTCCAGAAACCTGGATGCCTGAATCGCGGCTAGTCCCTGAGTCGCGGAACGTCCACGCTCATCATGAATGAGAGCTTGGATCTGCATCACTTGTTTTCGAAGTTCAACTGACAGTTGTGTACAAAGAATTGTAACAAAAATCTACACAATGCTACACAACACAGGGCAGATGCACAGCGTAGACGCGTATGCCAAAACAACAAGGCATGAACTACACGGACAAAACGATGGACGCGATCAACACACATGGAAGGCAATGACATATTCTAGACCAGTTGAATCAGCTGAGCAGATCTGAGCTGGGTGCCTTCCAGAACCCCAGAAGCACTGCAGCCAATAGAGACCTAGGTCAGCATTGCCTGCCTGCAAGAGCCCTGCCCTCGTCCCACCCGTTTCCACTCCAGACCTGAGATGGCGACAGTGACAGTGTGTCCATTCTCTCGAGGAACTCCTTTGCAAGGATCGCAACCAACACGCCGTTGGCCTCAGCAAGCACAACATTCCTTGGGTTTGCCCGCCACTTCTCGAACCTCTAACCGGCAAGGCCCAGTAGAGAAATCTGCTAGAGAGTACGACGATTCGGCCATCCTCTCCTCTGCTCCCGGCAGGTCCACGTGTCTTGCCGATTGCATAGACTAGCTTGGCCAGAGCCTGGCCGGGCGACATCCATTCCAGCACAGCAGACAGAGCAACTCAACATGCAGCTATCGCATTACTGTACAGAGATTTTTGATGCACGGATGCATTACATGGGCACCGAGGACGAGGAGCACCATCGGTGCCTTGCCGCTGTACTCTGAGATGTTGGCTGCGACAAACGAGGCAGCCACCTGCCAAGCACAGATTTTGGTTCATCAGAAAGGGCGAAAACGGGGGCCGACAGGGAAAGTGATCATGACATCACTGAAAGGAATGGACATCACTTCGATGAAAGCAGCGCACCTGGCACAAACATGGCAATGGTACCCTCTTTCGGCTGTGACATTGCTGCTTCTGCCGGCTTTGTCACAACATCGGTGAAACAATGGTGAAACGCTTGCAGGTCGGAGAAGGATTGTGGAAGCTAGTTCATTAACTCTCGGAACTAGCTTGGTTTTCTGCCTGAACACCCTCATACGGTCAGAGGGCACTGCACATTAAACAGTTTGTAGAGCAAAGCCTTACCACCACGCTTTAGGTGAGGCCTGCAGTGTGCAGCGCCACGGGAATGAGAAGTGAGAAGGCCACGTGCGATGCACCATGGGCGTCCGCTCTCAATGGCAACGGCAGGTCTTCAATGCAAAAAACCTCAGTGACAATCAGAAGACTATGACATAAGCGCCAAGCACGTTCACCGTTCAACTGAGTACAGAAAACAAACAGACTTTGCCTCGCACGCTTGTCTCACAGTCTGTCAGGTCTGCACAGGTTGCCATGGAAGACCTCATGGAGTCCTGGAGAGCCGCACTGCGAGCAACTGTAAACTCTGTAGACAAGAGTGTGCTTAGTAAATCTTCGTAAGGGGCTTCATATTGCTCTCAATGAGTTTAATCTCCCACATGTCCACATCTCGTCCTCCATTTGCTCGGTAAGAAGTCCGAGCTGCTGGAGCAAAACCAACTCCAGCGTGCGAGGATTCGCTTGGCAACCATTCACCCAGATGCAGTCCTAACAAGGCGTGACTCGGCGCAATCAACTGCATGCGGGTGATTGTCATACGAAGCAGACTCAACTGTCCAACTTGAGGTGCTTCCGGGCATCTTGGGAGACATTGGACCCTGCCCGACAGCTTTCTTCAGAGAGCTCGTCGCCTTAGCCAGCTTTGGCCAGCTGGAATCACTCACTCTCGCTGCAAAGTTGCTGACCCTCCCTCTTTCAAGACTTTCTAATTGCTCGATTCCATTGAAGCACCGTTCGTCAACAAACGCCCCTGGATGTCAAAAGGGCCCATGGCTCAGAGAACTTCAGCGACTGGGGCGGGCACAAGCAGCCTGCGTGCTTAGCACCGTCCTGTTCTCAGGGTTCGAAGGTTAGGCTTCGCAAGATGCCGGTGAAGTTCGCCCTTGTGACCAAAGCCCGGCCTCAGAGGGCAATCCTCGTCTATCACCGCCAGCAAAGCTTCCGAAGGCAGCAGGTTGCAGCGGAGGGCCGCCGAGTCCCACCAGCAAGATCCCTTGCAGAGGTCTGATGTCAAAGATGCGCAGCGCTCTCTTCGCAGCGCCAACCGCATGAGCTCGTCGCGGAACTCCTGCTCGAAAGCTCTCAGTTCTTGCACGCAAAAGGTAGACTGCGTGGTTCCATGGTTCCGTGGTTCCTTCTACCACATCATCAAACACATTCAGACGGGATGGTACTAAGTTCCATCTGATGAGTCTCTCTCTCTCTCTCTCTCCCTCCTGTCGCAGCAAGGCGAGCACCAGGTTTGGCGGAATGCCGCAGGATTGCCGCACAGGATCCCAAAGGCAGCCCCTTGTGCCATTGTACGCATCACACTCCGCCTGACTTGGCATTTCCATGCACTCGGCTTCCCCAGCCAATACTTGTCCCAGCAGGCCACACTTTTGAGCCCCAAGGCTGGCACCTTTGGCACCTTGCATGCCCTGCAGAGGGCCAGCGAGCTTCCTTGCCATCCAAGCCCGATCAGTGGCACAGCCACTCCCAGAAACGCTACACAACGTGGCATTGGCGCAGTCGGAGCCATTCAGGCTTTCACACACGAAGCCCTGAGCAGCAATCTCTCCCCAGACACTGTCACCCTGCAGCCTTTCTAGCAAAGCTGCTGTGTACCAGCGACTAATCTGGCAACTTTGCGTGTGCGCGTCGAAGGAGCAGAGGGGCTTGCATGTCTGCGCAAGCGCATGCGGAAGGCTTCCCAACAAGGCGGCGAGGAGCACACCTCGGCACAAAAGGACCTTTGAAAAATTCGGGGTGTTGAAACCCCAACAAAAGCAACATCGGACGAGCAACTGTGCAGGGTATGCATCACCGCCGGCCATGAACTACATCAGGATCTGGATGCGGCGACTGCTTTTGATCAGCTGTTTCCAGGCTTCCGTGACCGTTTGTCTGTGGGTGCCATATTTGACAGTTCTTGCAATGGATGCATTCACATGTTCAGCTGCAACATGAATGCTTCTGAGAGCCAAAGCCAGCCCCGAGTCACAAGAGCAATCCGCATCTAGAATCTACAATCTGCACACTCATTCCACACAACAGAATCCTAAGAAGGAGCCGATGCCACCTCCAGGATTACTTGTCCTCCTTCATGCCCCACGAGGGCGAAGGCTTGGAGGACATTGGCGAAGCCTGGCAGCACTGCATTCGCTGCATCCTGCATGCTCCAAAGGGCACTGCGTAACGAGCAGACTTCCCGACTCATCAGGCCAGATGGGCTGTCGGGAGTGAATTCCTTGTACCGGTCGACCTCAGGACTAAAGCTACAAAACGACTACGAAACCTGGCAAGGTTGCAGCACTTCATATGAGGCGTCCATGTTGTTCTGCAGGATACGAAGCCTCATTATGTTTGCCCTTGGCTCATAGCTCCCCCCCCCCCACCCTTCTGTGGCCATCACGACATCATTCTGGATGGCCTGGGGGAGCAGTCACTGAGCTGGGGACGCTGATCAGCTCACAGAGTTCCATCTCACTGGCATCAGAGCATCTCAGCTGAGCGGGGACGCCTCGAAGAGCCTCTCCAGACGCCAGCGCGCCAGCGCAAAGGCCCAGGCCAGCACCGCCACCTTTCGCACACACTCGGCCCATTCTCGGAGACGTAACATAGGTTTATGGATCATGGCATAATGAAGGATCTACACATGAAGCTACACTGAGTTTGTACTCATACTACCCCACCTGCTCCGGTCGGAACTCATGGAGTCTCCTTGCCGCAGATGCACCCAGACCTGGTTTGGCAGTGTTTTTCTGACGTTAGAAAGGTGACGCCCTACCAGCGTGTCTGCATGCCCGCGGTGGCGCTAGGGAACGATCAAAACAAAGCAAGCCACCCGAAAACACTTCTGGATGTGGATGCCGCAAGATCGCAAATGCCCAAGTGCAGTTGGCAATGTCCTTTGCCGCGGAAACATTCGCTGGCATCTGCTATTGGCGTGGTAAACTCACACTTCTGTCCTGAGGACGGAGTGTGTCTCCAGCGCTCGCCAGGACCTCAGATTTTATGCACACTGATTCAAAGAATGGTTGCCAATGGTTGCCAGCAACAGTGTCGTGTTCACTGGAGGACACAATCTATCATCTCAACACAATCTTGGGCGTGCACATTCGCAGCTGCATCGAAAAGATTGGCATTCAAGACCTTCCCACTGCTTCAGGCAGCAGGCATATGCAAGGCGACGCACCAAATTATCACGTCTTCACAAACTGCTCATCGCGAACCCCTCCGTGCCTTCACCATTGCGAAACTCGTCAGGATGGCAACCAAGCTCCTCAATTTTTGCACTGCGTGCCACATACTGGAAATATTGATGTGCATGTGCCTCCATGTGCATGAAGGATTTTGCTATTTGTGACGGTGAAGGTTCGCCAGAACAAAGAATCGTGCAACACAGGCATGTTTCGAATCGGACGTGAATGTGTCTGGTGCGACCGGCCCACGCCTCGACCCCGGCCACGCGCCGGCAAAACAAAACAGTCAACAGTCCAAGCCCCCACACCAGGTCAGAGCTCCGTGTGTGACGTGGTCAGGTCACCGCCCGTGAGGGCACCGGCAATGGTCTCAAAAGTGACATCTATCTGTGGCGACCGAGACCTGTCCGCCGCGTTATCAATGGCCGGCCACCGCCCCAGCCTCGAAAGGTTGGCCACCCATCACCGTTTTGTGCAACGGCAAGACCGTGCTGACCTCCTTTACGATGGTATGCCACCCAACACGTGAACCCGCAGGACGACCTCGGTCGAGTAAACTCGCCATGCTCTCCCTCTCCGGGCCGAGATCAGCAAGGAAGGGTGGGGCAAGCAAGGGTGGGGCCAACAGCATAGGAGCCCACACTTGCAGGCAATAGCCGCCAGCCAGTGGTCTGGACAGCCTGACAGCATGAGCGCCCTTGTGTCCATGAGATCGGAGGAGTGGGCGTTGGGGGCCGAGAGGTCGGCGGTTTGCATCTCACGAAGCTCATCTGCCAAGGCCAGTTGGCGGCAAACGACGCCGACGAAGCGAATGACATCTTTGCTGGGAATGCGCGTCAGGCAGAAGTCCGCCTCTGTTTGAGGCTAAGGTGGGGGGCCGGCTCGGCCAAGTGCAAACAGTCAACAACACACAGTCGTTTTGCCGCCTATTCAACACAAGCACCTGCTGTAAGACTCTGCCCTCGTCCAAAAGAAGGTGAATGCGCGCACGCTCGGGCTCAACATTCATCCCAAAACGTCCGTAGCAAGTGACCCAATACTGAAAGCCAGGGAGCTTGCCATTGCTGACATCTTCACTCTCTTCCACTAGTGACTAGTGGGGGGGGGTTGATGATGGGGTTTCGGACAAGTTGCTCATGACTGAAGAGCTTTATACCTTGGATCAAAAGGCGGGAGAGTCACGCAAAGACTGCGCCTGCTGTACTGACTGGCCGAGGGGCGACGTTCAATTGTTTCGACAGCAGCCCTGACAGGGCCAAGAAAAGCTTCAGCAGAGGCTTGGGGATGTTATCAGCACAGCGGTGATTGGCAATGATCCAAATTGGGCCGTGCAGATGTGCTGAGCGCCGGACCCAAAGAATGGGCCCGAGTCTTTCATTCCAAGGGTGGCAAATGCCCACAAACAATTCCTTGGCAGGAGGGCTCACATACAGTAGATTTTAAACACCTGGTTCCGTTATGTTCCGTTTATGACACGCCAACACCACCGACAGTGTTTGCCGAGGCACTGCAACTGATGAGGACTGAGGTGCGGGAGCAGCGGCTTTACCATACTGCGCACAGGCAAAATAAGTCAGCAAAGTGCATACAACAAAAACAAAAAAAAACAGCCCCACGAAGAAAACTGCACAACGGAGAGGCCTAGCTAGGCATGCCAGCAACTCCTCGTTCTTATGACCTTGACTTCATGTCAAGTTGCTTTTCACGGGCAACTCATGAAAAGCACTGACTGAAACTCTGGGTATCCGGCCCAGCAAACCTACAGCCCAGCATATCACAGATATTGTCCATGCCATGTGGAGGCCGTGATCCTGCACAAACTCTGCTTTTGGGTTTTGTCAAGTTTTCTCACGTGACGCACAAAACCCAAGGTGCCTCCACCTTCATCGCCTCGGAGGAGGAGTCCTGCGGTAGGAGTGCAGACGTTGCGTACGCCTTGACATTCTTGACCAGTGTGACACTGTACTGCGTCATCGTGTTGAGAAACTCGCCTCAGATTCGGCAGCTTCGGCCCCTGTGCCTCGCGCGACAGGCAACATTGGTGCAGGAGCAGGGCTGCATGGGGCTGCATGGGGCTGCATAAGGCCCTGCAAGGCCGCTCCACCTTCAAGGTGGAGCTGAGCTGATAAGCGGTGCTTTTCACCCATCACAATGTTTTCAACCTTCGTGTGGCGTTCCAGGATGTTCCAGGCACAAGACAGGAGCTACGAAAAATTTACAAAAACTTGCTCCAAATCACGGTGTAAGTGCGAAACGTGTCGAATCAGGTTCAGCAGCTTCGGACTGTGAGGCTTGTCCCCGCCCGGATGGTCTGCCTGCACACGCACGACGCGACAAAAAGCGTCAGCTTCTACAAGCTCCGGCCTGCAGCATCCGAGCAGCATGTATTAGGGCAAAGGCCTCCGAGAGCCGAGTTGACTGTGACTCGCTGTGCTTTCCTTTGGACGATGAGTCTTGAACCGCATTGATGCTGCTGAGCTCGGTGAGATGGGCATCCTCGAGATCATGACCGAAGCAAAGCTTGAATCAAGGCTTCACACCCTCAAAACACACACACACACACTCACACACACACACACACACACACACACACACACACACACACACACACACACACACACACACACACACACACACACACACACACACACACACACACACACACACACACACACACACACACACACACACACACACACACACACACACACACACACACACACACACACACACACACACACACACACACACACACACACACACACACACACACACACGGGGAGACACACACACACACACTCACTCACTCACTCACTCACTCACTCACTCACTCACTCACTCACTCACTCACTCACACACGCCCAGGCAGGCAGGCAGGCAGGCAGGCAGACAGTCACGCACACACCCCCACGCACACGCACGCACACGCACGCACACGCACAGCACACACACACACACACACACACACACACAGAGACACAGAGAGAGAGAGAGACACACACGCACACACAGAGGAACACTCGAGAGCACGCGGGAACACGTGAGAACACGTACGTGAGAACACGTGAGAACAAGTGAGAACACATGAGAACACGTTAGAACACGTGAGAACACGTGAGAACACGTGAGAACACGTGTGGACACGCGTGAACACGTGTGAACTGCATACCAAAAAGATACCACACACATGCCATGACTTCTGTCAATCGGGGGGGACTCTGGCCCCCACGGTGACTTCAAGAAGGCTCTCCAGATCGCCGCTCTCCGCTGCGTGGGACAAGAGCTGATAGAGTTCCTGAAAGAACTCGATCCCGGACAGAGAATGCATGACAAACAAAAGGCTCATCGCAACTGTAAGAAGGCAAGATGATGCTGGCATAAGCATACATATAGCCCAGACAGGATTCTGCCAAAACCTCGAAGCCCGAAACACGAATCCCTCGGTGGCCATGCCTGGTCTGGAGGTTTCGGCGCCTCCACCTGCGAAATCTGGTGCTCAAATGTGCTCAAGACTTGAGTCTCACACGTCACTTGGCCACCTCCAACCACTCTGCTGCTGCACACTCGACAGACACCTTGCCGATGTCTGCAATGTCCTCGCGACAACAGAGAATCAGGTGTCATATGCTGCGTGACATCTGCTCCTCAGAGATGCTGGCTTCCGCATCCATGAAAACCGGATCCTGAAAAACCACAACAATGATCAGACGGTTCCACTCTCTAAACTTGGTCGAGGCGAAATGCAGGTTCATGGCCTGCAGCGCTGCAAGATCCTCTAAGCCTGCAGGAAATCGTCACCCGCAAGGGCAAGGGAATTTGGATTGCTGTGACAAGATCCAGACATTTAGAGGAAAGCTCACAGGAGGCGTATGGAGCTGAGCAATACCAAGAGCTAGTGCTGCCGCGAAGGGAAACTTGGGGGGGGGGGGGGGGGCAGACTTTGGGGGGGGACCTTGGGTACATCGTCACAGAAATGACCACAAGCCTGGTCTTTGTGGATGCGGCGAGGCGTGCTGAGGGGTGTCATTGGAGCATCCCAAGAGCTATCCAACAGTCAACAACAGTCACGCCTTGGCTTGACATCTAATAACAACGCTTGAAGCAAGAGGGCGATTGGTCTCACAGTGTCGAGGCTCATGCGAGAACAACCGTTACACGGGTCCCATCCCACACGTACTTCCGTACCATCAGTTTGCAGTACTGACTTGGGAAGTTGATATTCCAGCCACTTTTTCCTGCTGCCTCGCTGGCTGCATCGTGCTGAAGGGACACTCTCGGCATCGCTCGTTCAATGGCTGAGAATGTGGCCCTCACTGTCGAGCTGCACAGTGCTGTGCAGCTACCCTAAAGCGAGAATCACAAGCTCACTTCCCGCAAGTTAGACAGAACTTAACTACATTTGGCGGGGAGATGGCTGTCCGATTCTCTGCAGACATAATGTCCGGCAAGGCGTTAACATGGCGGCTGCCTGGTTTCGGCACCCTGCCTGGGAGTAGCCCTATGGTACATCTGTGTCACGACACAGAAGACAAGATGAAACCACAAAGTGCTTCTGACCTTGTGATCCAGCTCACGCTGGCCTGCTAAATTCGGCCTTGAGTCAAATAATCTTCCGTAGGCTGGATCCTGGCCACATCCAAGCAAGAAGCATGCTGAGTGCCTACCGCCTCGCTCCTCCCCTCAACGCACAGGTGAGAAAGCCTCCCAGTTCCTACAGCGGATGCCCAGCCGCTGCCAACACCTGGCAAGAATCCAAGCCCCCTGCACCCAACAGCAAATCTAATGAAATTCATGATGATCATGCAACTTCGACAGGCAGGCTTTCGCCATCTTCCCAATGGCTCGGTGGTGGTAACGGCCCAGCTGTCTGTGTGAAAGCTTCGGCTGGAAGACTCGCAGCTCTCGGTTCTCTCGGTTCTCTCGGTTCTCTTTGTGGGCTTGCCGGAGGGCTGGGAGTGGATGAAAACCCATCCGATGCAGGTGGCAAGGGTCCTGCGCCCAGTCCGGTGAGTCCTGTCAGTCTGGTCTCCGGGAAGGAAGCACTTGCACTTGCATTTGCAAGGTCCAACAAGGCTGAAGCCCCTGGCACTGAAAACTGCATGGGCACAGTGCCAAGCTCGCGTGACTCGCGTGACTCACGTGGGAGATCTGGAGGAAGGATCGATGGGATCAGCATGGACTTCTGAAGCATGCCCAAGCTCTCCAGGTTCTGCTGGTGTCTGGCACGCAACTGCTGAAGCTGCTCCTCCTCACTCCCCGACAGAGACCGGAGCTGCAGCTCCGTGTCCGAAAGCCTGGACACCGCTCGCAGCACGGTCTCGTTGACGTCGTTCTTGACCCCAAGCTGCTGGAACGGGGAACTTAGAGAAGCCAGGGGAGCTGGAGCCTGTCGGTCCCAAAGGGCACTTGGCACAGTTGGCCGGCTCGGCCCGCTTGGCGAGAGCGCTCGCGCCTCGAACCGCTGAGGAGGCACCGTTCTTCCGTCTCCGGCCCCAGCCAGGGACGGAAGAAGTGACGGTGGTGGCACTGGCGCCGGAGGCCCTGCCGGAGGGCCGACGTGGGTCCCTCGCTGTGGCCTGAGGCAACGGCTAACCACGAGCTCCATGTCAAAAAAAGAAACAAGCATGTTCTCATTGGAGGCACAGAGAGTCTCTAGCGCCTCGGTAGTGCGGGCGGGGCCGGTAGCTCTCTCTCCTGCGGAAGGCTGCGAGGTGATGTCGATGGCTCTGGCCTTCAGGTGCCATGAGACTTCAAACCTTTGCAAAACGAAGTATGCTTCCATCATACCTCCCTTTCAAGCCTCTGAGCTTCGGCTCGCAGTGGCCAGAAGAAAACCTCAGGGGCTGCGACCTCGCGTGCTCGAGAGGCTACAAAACGTTTGGATCCGACGCCCAAGCAGAAGCCAATTGTTACCTGCAATTGGCCCTGTATAGAATTCTTCCCCATTCCAGAGAGTCCGTTCTTCCTCAACATTCACGCGGGTACTCTTCGGGTGCTTGTGGCAGCCACTGACACCGCAACCAACTATTTCCAATAGCGTTTCCTTTGCATTCACGAGCGCTAGAAGGCTAACATGAGGATGCCTTTCTGGGTAGGTGGAGCCCTTCAAGCTCAAACCCGTTAAGCTCTTCAGGGCAGGCTAGGTGGAGTGGGACAGGTCGCGAGCCACCTCTCAGAAACATCCGATCAGTACTGTTTAAGCACGAGCCATGACGCAGGATAACACACCGAATGCGTCTTCAACTTCAGGTTCTCGAAGTGGGGAAGTGGGGGGGGAGGGATGCAAACGTCCCATGTGTACTTCGCAAGTGCAAACGCAGGTTGTCTTACATGAAGCCTCCACCCAACTCATCATCACACTGACATGGTGCACCTGCTCTGCTGAACTCGCTGTTCGCAAGTCTCGGCCATCCACGGCACCTCCGGATGCGAATGAGACTATTCGAGAGTTGGCACTGGTCGCTTCCTTCACTGCCTTGCAAGGCCACTTCGCTCCCGCAGGCCGCTTGCAAGTCCCACAGGAACACGATGTAGTCAAAGTGCCAGTGGCCTGAGCATGGAAGACGCAGGTGACGCAGCGTCTGAACGTGGCTGTTAAATGCATTCATCCCTCTGTCCTCCGGCCAGCCATTCCGATCTTTGGGAGATCAGCTGCCACAGAGCTGCTGGGAGATCTGGGCACAGAACTCTGTTCAATGGCAGCACTCCGCCGATCAGCTCCGCATGGCAGACCCGCCTGCCAACCCTGCCCTGCGCAGCTCCGCCTGCAGACCAAGACAATCCCGGCAAGCTAAAGGGAGGATGCAGGTGACTAGTAAAGTGGTGGTGTCGTTCGTATGTGAGGGGGCATCCGCTCCATGTGGCAAGGATCTAAGGCCTTGCTTCCTGCTTCCGTGGCACCCGCTGCATAGACATACATAGAAACAAGGATGTAAGGAGCAGAACTGGAGGTCATGATGTAAGGTTAGATTGCTGCAGCTACACATTCGCGGTGTTATTTCGGTGTAAGTCCGGATATGGGAATCATGTGTAAGTGCCTCGGAAGAACCATGTTAGCCGCACAGCATCGGAATACTATCATAGTAAGCGCCGTGTAAGCAGCATGTAAGCGCCATGTAAGCACGACATAAGCACCATGTAAGCACGATATAAGCACCATGTAAGCACAATGTAGGCAAGCGTTATGTGAGCACCGTGTGTGCACTATGCAAATACCATGTAAGGACAATGTGAGCACCAGGTGAGCAATATGCAAGCACTTGTAAGCACCATGCAAGTACAATGTAAATTGCCCGTGCATGCCCTTATATTGGGAACACCTGGTTCCGAACACCCCGACTGATTAAGACCTCCCAACTACCGCACACATGCTCAGACAGCTTGTCTTACATGTGAGCCCTGAACTGTCGGAGATCAAAAGAAGCTTTGCTACACAGGAACGACACCAGATTACTGGTCACCAGCACCTGTCTTGGCCAAGTACTAGACCATACGAACGAACAGCCATACTAAACCACTGTGCTCAGTTCGAGCGTTCGGGAAAGTTTAAACCTTCAGGCCCAGGGCGAGCCATATTTGTTTCGCCGCGAGCTAGTTGGTCAAAGCTGCTGCAGGCCATGTCGCGATCGGGAAGGGGAGGCTCGGGGTGTACTGCCCACAATACACAGTAATTACCTATGGCACGCGGGCAAAGTGTGAGGCTTCAGGAGCTTTATGCAAACGTAGCAACAGGACTCAACCTTTCTGGATTTTGAGCAAGCCGTCAGAAACCGTGCTCATGCGTTCATGCTTGTCACGTCGCATAGACTGACCCAAGATCGTCAACTTCTAGTTACTTGGCAATGCATGTTGACATTTGAATCAGTCGAAGTTCTAGTTGTTCCGGATAACAAACACCTACCTAGGTATGGTATGTATGAATACTCTCCTGCCCCTACGAGTTCGGGAGCTTTTCCTGCTTGTGTTGTTGTCGTCACTGCCTTGTGCACAAGACTGCAATTTGCGCGCATTGGTGCCAGCTCTGGTGTCCTGAGGTCCCGGATACTTGCGGCGTAAACAGCTGAGTTTGTTAGGGCCCCGTGGCGTTACAAGAATCAACCCTCGATTGCAGCAAAGGATGTCCGGCAGCGAAGGCGTCGCGAGGGCGAGGGAGCCCCTGAAAACCTTGAGTTTCTCAGGGCTTCCTGGCCAACATCTCTGGAATGACGTGGGCGGACTCCGTCTTCTAAGCCAACAGCACATCTCAAAGGTTTGGGCGTGAGGGGAGGGCTGCGATGGCCGCAGCAGGTGCAGGAGAGCTTTGATGACCTCTGGCCCCAAAGAAGTAAACCAAACAAAAAGAAATGAAAGCACCTCTCTTCCCAGCGGTACAATATCGGTACTCGTGGGGGTTTTCTTGGGTTGGATGGGGCCCCCTCAGTGCGAGCCAGGGAGAGAGGAGGAGGGAAGTGAGGGCGTTTGGGAGAAAAGGACAGAAAGTGTGCAATGTGTGTGTTTGCACTGAACCCTCCCCTTTACTTGTCCGGAAACTGGGAAGGAGGAACTAAATCGCAGTGGAGCTTTGCGCACCTCGAATTCCTCCAAGAGAGGCAAACTTTCCCCAGGACCCTCCAGAAGCTTTAAACTTTCTCTTCACTCCCGCGCCTGCAGCACAGCCTGGAAGCTTGCAAAAGACACTGCCTGAGCAAAGGAGGAGACGGAAGGCAAGCAGCGGTGGAGTACTGAGGCTGGTACTCCAGAAGATCCTCTCAGGCCTGCCCGAGTCAAACGCAAAGTGTCACAGCAGCACCTCCAGCAGAGGTGGCGCCGCACCCTCTGCCTGCATCCCCATTGAGCTCCAGTTGGTGAAGGCGCTGTGTCAAACCTGTAAGGAGTGGAGACGATGATTCGCATGTCCATGCCTCTTGGCTGAAAAACTGCTCATCCTGCCTCTGGCAATTGGCAGTATCAAGCGAGCCAGCTTGCGAAGACCGATCCAAAGCAGCAGCTGCCTGACATCAGATCAACAAGCTCCTGCAGACTCAGCTCGGATCAACTCAGAGTTGCGTCTTTGGTGCTCTGAAGTCTAAAGCCCTCTGCGCATCTCTAGCCACTTTCTAGTGTCGCCCACATGAAGCCGACAGGGCTTCACCTAGACTGGCATACAGCTTTAAAGTGTCGCCCCGAAGACTCAGGCCACCACCTGGAAGCATTTGCTTCATCCCTTCTAAAGTCCCTGAAAGAACAGCAAGCCTGAAAAAGCCATCGTGTAGAGTAGGTAAAGTCGCAGACTGAACCTCCTGTCATGAAAGGCAACGCTCGAATGAAAAGTCCTGCTGCCAAGATCCGTGTGTGAAGAGGGTATGTTTAGGGGGTCTTCGTGCGCAATCTGTTACCTGTCTACCAAGCCAAGCTTTTAGATGAACTCGATGATGAACAAGAGCTCCTATTAATGGCCGATCTGGGAGAGAAGCCGAAGGGAACTGCGGGAAGGGTACTAAAAGCCCGAACAGATTCACCTTAACCTTGAGACAGGATTTGACCTTGAGGATTAGACTCATGAATCCAACTCAAGCGTCCCATCCAATCTCATAGTAAACCCCCCACATAACCCGTCTATCTCTAGCTCCTGTCAATGGTTGATGGTTGATCTGGGGCTGAGTCCAGTCCAACCGCAACACCCATCACACCTTGAGACCCACCTCTGTTTCCAAGCCAGTAAGAACCCAACATAGAAACCGTACAAGGAAACCGTGCGAAAAAACCGTACCATCATGAGTCTTTCTACGCGACAGGAACTCTCGTGGCAAGGAACCCACCCTCGAGACACTAATTCTGATGCTGAAATGTTCCAGCCCTTTACACCCAGACTGAGACACATTGAGACGAACTGAGACGCACTGGCCACTGGGCCTGAACGGAACCAGCAAGTCAGCATCTGCCATGATGGGCGCAAGCGTTGCCACAAGGAAAGGCAAATCTTCTTGCACAGTGGATCCACTGGTACCCGGCTCACCGGAAGCCGAAGTTGCTCGGAAAAGAGGCGATGATGAACCTTCTGCTGCGGCCTGCACGGCAGCCTGAAATGCTCCAGAAGAGATCACTCCCGGCTTGACCTGTGCTTCGCTTAGCCTCTTCCACAGGTCATCTCCAGCCAGAGCTCGAACCGCTGACTCCACTGGCCACACTCCCGGACCCGGGACTGTGCAAGTGGGAGCCCGCGGGGGTTCCCAATCTTTGTAAAGCGGTAGATACAGACCAGCAGGTATCAAGGGCAGCTGCCTCATGAGACGGAGCTCTTTGGCCGCACTGGGTCTGCGCACTTCGAGGCTTAGCAAGGCGCGTCCCACCACTCGAGTGCAGGGATTCTCTGGAGCAACATGAAGCAGGGGCACCCAAAGCAAACCTCCAAAATACATGGATGGAACTCCTTCTACCTCTCTCCCAAGTGGCAGCAGCAAGTCAGCTTGCGCAGCCGCCTTACTGTCCTGTCCGTCACTGGCGGAGCTGAGCTGCACTACGCGGAGCCCGAGCTTGTGCTTGTCTGCCGTCAGAACCAAGGCGTCCATGTTCTTACCTGCTTCGCCGGAACCCCCTCCAAGGACGAAGCGCCCTGCAAGAGACAGAGACGCATCTTGACCAGGATTGATACGCACCCAGCCCTGGCCATCGAGCAACCCACGCACTGGGGCAGAGCGGAAGCTGCTGGAAGAGCTCGGCCATGACGACACAAAACCTGCAAAATGGGTTTTTCAAGGGGTTTGCCGGGCTTTCTCCGGTACTGAACTGAAAAAAGCGGGCGTAAGGAGACAAATGGAAAACTGAAGTCACGATCAACCGAGCCAAGGTTAGCACTCAGAAGAAAAAGACATAAAAAGACTAATGCTTCGGCAAGCCACCCTCAGCTAGCTCCAGGTAAAAGAGGGGCAGCTCCTTCGGCAGGCCGACTGTCTGCGTGCCATCTCTGTCCCAGAACTCACGTCGACAGGCATCCTCGCTTCTGCGGCCACACCTTCTGCAATACAAGGCATCCGAAGCAAGCATGGTCCCACAAGTGTGACAGAAGCGGCCGGCGTTCCTGCGACCTGGTTCATGTGAGGGCACAAGGCGCTCCGAAGCCAGATGGGACACGAAATCACCAGACAGCAATATTTCCCGCAGGCAGACGACGTACTCTGCCATGAGTGGCTTTTTGGGCTCTGTTTTCGGCTTCTCGACAAGCCATGAAAGAGTCCCGGGGCCATTCGGGAGCTGCAACTCGGCCACTGAGCCAGCCAACAAGTGCGCCAAAGGCTTCCCATCGCGTTCAAAGGCGGCGGAGGAAGCAGTCAAGTCGACCTTGGCCGGCTGCAGGGTTCTGAGGCGAAGCTCACTGGACTCTTCAGGCGAGACTGCTTCCAGCAATGCCTGGAGCGGTATTGACCTTTCAGCCAATCGGAGGTCAGCTGCTGGGTGTCGAATCCAAACCTCCATTGCCACGACTCCATCTTGAAGAGCCTGAACAGCTTGGCCGGCTTCCAGTGCCGGCGAGCTCCAGGCAAAGTCGAAGTTTATTTGCACTCCACCTGGCTTGGCAAGACTTGATGGAGCCAGCAAGTTCTCGGGGACTGGCTTCACTCCACTTTCCACCCAGCCCCCGCAGCCCGCGACTTGCATGGCAGGCTTTCCAGGGAAGAGGCAAAGGCGCATAAAAAACTTTGGCGCCTTGCTGGCAAGGCCACCAACAGAGCCAGGTGCTGCAAGAACTTGGCCTTGCAGGCAGCGTGCCACCAAGCCACGTAACGCATCCGCTTGCAGCTGAAGCCCTGCGATCAAGATCTTTATGACCACGGAGCCAGGTGGGGGAAGTGGCTTGGCTACCTCTTCCCGCGGCGCCAGCCCACTCGGAGCTTCCTCAGGGTCATCACACGTAACGCTCGCGACCCCTTTCCTGCAGACCACCAGTCGGCCGGCAAAGGAAGAGTTCCAGGGCAACGCGATACGCTGTGGATCCGAGTTTGGACGGCGACTATAATGGACCACAAGCTCCACAGCTCCCCTGACTGCCTCCAAAGGTGGCTTTTTCAGCTTTGGATCCGTGATAGGTACCGGTGTAAAGTTCAAAGACCACTTCCTCTGCGATCCGAGTACCGCTTCAGGACGTGGCCGCTCCAGCGTTGAAGAGTCCAGAAAAGACCGAAGCTCCGCAGCCGGAACTGCAGCGACTGCCAGAGGCCGACGAAGCTCATCCTTTGCTACAGCAACCCACGCCTGGATAGTGAAGGCATGATCCCGGCCCTCGAAAAGCTTGGCCAGCGAGTCCGTGCCGCTTAGTCCGAAAACATGCGTGGCACTAAAATCCATCTGTGCCGCAGCTGGTGCGTCAGCAACGCAGTTGGTTCCATGGCAGTTGTACCTGATAAACACTTCCGCGGCCATCCTGAAGCCGGTTACAGACTTGAAGGAGACCTCCAAGACGTGCTCCACGACCTTGCCGCGATTTATCGCGATTTAGATCGGCAAAATCACGCGATGGGGCATGCTGGGGCCCAGGCCCTCTCACTTTCGGCACAGATCAGCAGTGTCTCAGCACCTTACACACTGATTTCGCTAAGCTGAAGAGCACGGTACAGAGCCCAGCAGCACGGTTTTTGCGGGTCTCGCTTGCAAAGTTTGCCGAAGGCTGGTGTCGATCTGTGGCTCAAGCGAAGTGGGGCTTGTGACTCCGTCTGGCCGCGTGCCCCTGCAATGACCTCAAAACGTAGTTTCTCACTTTGAAGAGCTACGATATCACACGATTCTCAGAAAGGACTGGGAAATCTGGTGTACCGAGTTTTCAACTTCTTGAGGCCCTGCTGTTGGATACTTGGCTGATGCCTGGATTGTTGCAGGATGCAACAGGCAGCCTTGGTGGCACATCGCTACAGATCCCGCCTCCGCCACAGACTTAACCAGCTGATCCACATCCTGTCGAAATAGAGCCGTGCAGCCACCATCTGAAGTTCTCAACCCACACCTCTCTCGGGCCTTGGCCGCCAGCTTCTTCAACAGATCGCGTCCGCGAGAAAATGCCTAATCCAGACTCGCTGCAATAAAATTCAAACAGCGATTGCGAATGCAAAGAAGTTTCAGAGGCAGTTGCAACCCATGCCGGCATCGTCCCAGCTGTTCCTGCAGCCTGCCAGACACATCCAGACGTCGTGCCAGGCCTGTGGAAAACACGACGCGTCGACGCGTGCTCCATTCCAGCCTCGGCGTCCTTCATGAGCTCTGCACGCACGTTCAGCCCTTGGAGTCTGAGGACGGCACCTGCAATACCGAGACAGACGAGCCTTCTGAACTGACAACTGCTTCAGGGGACGTTGGCTTCCTGCCAATTCCTACCTGCGCTTGCTGGTACCAGTGCAGGTGTCGTCGCCATGAAAATCTCACAAGACCCACGTGCAACACCATCGGATGGACAGCCACTGGGGTACCTTGGGCAGTGTCGGATCATGGTGCATGTGCAACGGCAACTCCCGTGCAAGTGTCCTCTTGACTTGCAGTTCAGGACACATGAGCTGGAGCCAATTCTGCACGGTCGCCTAGGGCACTGGCGCACGCATGGCTCAGCTTCAGTGCTATCTGCACCACGCGTCAATCTGGCCTTGTCCAGGCCAGCAAGTTGGACGAGGCGGTCGACGAAGTCTGACCTTGAACGATGAAAGTTCAATACCCACTCCTGAAAGCTGAGCAGCAGCTTCTAGCTCTCTACAATAGCAGTGTGCACACGTGCCTTTTTGGCCCCGAATCTGCTTCTAAGATCCGGCAATCAGATCTCTGTTGGTGGAAGGTTCGGCTCCCATCTGACCCATCTGATTCGCCACAACGCCGTCACTGCATTGTACGAGCCCCAGCTTGGATGGAATGTGGAATCATGCCACGAAGCCCATCGGAGCTCCCTGTGGAAGGTTCGCCTCCGGCGGCTTGAAGAGCTGCCGCAGCGCCGGCGCCTGAGAGAGCTGCAAGGCCTGGTTCCACAGTTCGAGGTCCACCTCGTCGCTCTGAAAGCGGGAGAACGATGTCACCCGGAGCTCGTTTTGGGGGCCTTTCGTGCCCACAAGCTCGACGAAGCCTTGTCCCGGGTCGACGCCAGGTGAGACCATCACGGGAACACTCATGCCATCCGAGGAGTTCAACACAAGCTGCTGCATATGGTCGCGGGAGCATCGGCCCGCGAGTCGAGCTGGGGCACCAGCTGACAGAGTGCGGAACCTTTCGCCGTTCATCCTTTCTGCAACCGCAGTGGCCATGCTGTCCGTCTTTGACCTCTGCAGGCTACCTGTGCCAACTTGGACCACAAGCTCTCGAATCATAGAAACTTCCTCTTGACCCTGTGAGTCAACGGCTGCAAGGCTGTAATGCCATCAATCTTGCAAGACCCAGGTCCAGGCTCGCTGACGGCAGGCTGGTCAGCAAACACCTGAACAGACTCGAACCGATTTGAACAAAAAGGTTCGTCCCCTTGGAAACTCTAAATGTTTGTGCTGGAACTATGGACCTTAGGGACACCCACGGAGCACCCCGACTGGGAGCACCAGATTGAAGCCACAGGAACTTTCCATGGTTTTCTCAACCGTTGCTCAGTCCGAAGTCTCCCTGCGTCCAACGGGGATGTCTAAATCTTCGGGTACGGCCGAAGTGGTCGACACGCAGCGCTAACAAGCGCACAGCAAACACTGTCCACTTGTAGTCCCCACCCTGCTTTCCACCGTAAAAGTGGGTCTCGGCCTCGGCCAGGTGCTTCGACAAGGGGGCGAAGTCGAAGTCCAGGCGCTTCTCGAAGTCACCAAAGCTTAGCCTCAACTTTGACTCATCGGACTCAGATTGCGCCCATCTTCCATGTCTCGTTGTTCTATGGTGCACCGCTCCGTCTTCCTCCCCAAAGGTGCCCCAGAAAGAGGCTCAACAAACTCTTTAAAAAATTGGGTCTCAAGCTCTGGCCTGGCTGAGGGCAGAAGGCCCAGGTCCTTCAGCGTGAGGCTCTGATCCTGGGCCCGAGCAGCCGAACAATCTTCTGGGACAAGAAACGGCAAAAGAAAGAAGCTCAGAGAAATGGAACTGGGCGAGCAGCTCCGCCCACAATCTGAAGCACGGCCAGGCGCAGGTCCTGTGCAGTCAAATTCAACGCCGCAATATGCCGATGGGCGGCTTGCCCAAATTCACCTCTGCATTGAGGAAGCCCTTGCCACCCCGATCGAGCCCGTCGAAAGCTCGCTGAGCAGACCTGATACGACGAGACATTGGTAAGAAAAAATACCCAAGCCCATTGTCGAGCCCATTATCCACACAGTCTTGGAAAGCTGAGGCCTCTGCAAGCCAAGCTTCTTAGATGCTTCAGCAGTCTTGTAGAACAGAATGGACAGCAAATGCCTTGTGATGCAGAGCTGTGATCGACCCTCAATGACCCTGCGGAACTGTCCCGAGTTCAAGGGCCTTTTGTCCACGCTCGCAGGCTTGGAAGCGCTCTTGCTGCGACAGAGATTGGCAACGGCATCCTCCACCGTCGGACCCTGGCGCCATGCCACCAATGCAGCATGGTGTGCAGCATGGTGTTCAGCATGGGGGACTCTTTTGCTCCGATGCCTTCCACGCTCCGTTTGGGACCAGGGAAGCATAGTCAAACTTCTCAACCTTGCGCTTCGTGGCGCCCGCCACAAGCTCCGCAAACTCCTCCACCTCCGACATGCCCGAGCCTGCCACAGTCACGGGGCCACGCCGCACCACGCACCGCACTACACACTGCACCACACACACCTCACACCGACTCCTCCCCGCGGCCTCCTTGGTTGCTCAATCCCAGGTCCAGCTGCGCCAGCGCGGCACGCAGCCTCAAGCTGAGGAGGTGCGCATAGGCTGAGGACAGGCAGGGTGAGAAGGTGAGAATAGGCGAAAGATGTGGAAAGGTGAGGTGGATGTTGATCAGAGATGCGTGCCGAACGCGCCCTGGATGTGCCCCCGAGATGCGCAACACAGGGTCGGAGGCGGTCTGCCCTGGTCTAAATCTTCGCCCAGCAGCTGGGGCCCGGAGAGCTGCCCGGAACGTGAGCTGTCTTGGATCTTGGCCGCAGCCTGGAAGATCACGGAAGATTCGCGGTAAGGAGCGAGATCGGGAAGGTTGCAACTTACAAACGTCTTACATACGACTTCTGGGTGCATGCTCAAACTTACGAACTGGTTGTGACTTCTTCTCTTCTTGCAAGACAGTGGCTTGTCCTGCTCCTGCTGCTTAATAGCAGCAGGGTCTGGCTCCGGCAAAGAATTGTGTTTTCCTTTGACAAGTAGCCTGTCTTCCAGGTCTTCCAGTGACCAAGCCCACGCTTCTTACCACACATGCCCCCCCTCTCTTGCCTTCTTCTAGGGATTGAAGGTCTGAGAAAAAGCAGTCTCCTTTTCGATCTCTGACCGCTACATCAAGTTCTCCCAGACTCTGGGCCTTCAATAGCAGCGTCTCACTGGGTCTTTCGAGGGCTTAAGGTTGGGATTTGAGCGCTTCGGATTTGGGAGTCAAAGGTCTTGTCATTCTTCAGCTTTTGGGTTTGGAACTTCAAACGTTTTTTCTTTGAGCATGCAGGGCTTGGGAAACGGAATCTTCCGCGCGCTCGAGGCAAAGCATTCTCCTCATGTGGATTGAGCGTTGACTCGACAGAGTCTAAACTTCAGAACTTATTGCATCCTTCAGTACTTAAGACCCAAAACTCAGCTTCTATCAGCTGGCTGAAGGTCGTGGAGTGCAGCTGTCTTTGGCTAGAAGGTTCGAGCTGTAGGTGTCAAGGCTTGATGCAATATGACATACAGCGAAGCAAACTGAAGCACATGCTAAGCACATGCTAAGCTCATGCTAAGCATGCTCAGCCAAGAAAACCGACTTGACAAGGTTGAAAGCTCGTGAGAGCTCGCACCTCAAAAGACGCAGCTTGCCGAATCAAGGCCTCAGCACAATGCTGGGCTCTGCGAAAGATACCTCGAGCTAGACTCCGTGCATCTCAGTGCTCTGCAGGCATACCACGCAGCAAGAGGTGCTCTGCTGCAGCTGACTGCTCTGCACGCACATCAGCCTGTTTGCATACTCAGACTAAGCTCCAGCTTGCACACAGCAGATGCAGCTCAGCATGCTCCGGCCTGAAGCTGGTCGTACGAAAAGCCCCCACTTCCGGAAAATCGCCAGAAAAGCAATCCGATGTCTGCCTTCGAGGCATCGAGTCGAGCTGCAACCAGGAGATTCAGGGAGGTTTGGCCTTGCCTCCGCAAGCATCTGCGGGCACAAAGCTGATAGGACGGAGCTCAGCTGCTTCAAGTCGAGCGTTCCCACACCTTCTACACAGCACTTTCCCGCACGCATGCGCAGGCTGACCGGCTTTGCAATCAGTAGCCGTCAAGCAGTAAGGTAGGCACGCCGGACATCTGCTGCCAAGCAAAGTTTACCCACCTTTGCATCGGACTGTGCTTCAAATTTGCTTTGAGTTTCCGAGGTGTATAAAGGTGTGCGTGTTGAAGAACACTCACTACGACTGTCGATCACTGGAGACCAATGAAACCGGTGCTTGAAAACAAAGACTTACTCACTTGTCAGCAGACAATGAAAGAACGCGATGATGCGAGGAAGTGTTGTTCGCTGCCCAACAAAGGCGAACTCTGTTCAGTGCTTTCTGAGCATCCTCGCCGTGCAGGGTTTTTCTAGGGTGTCACCCTAACGCCAAGCTGGCTCCAGCTCGGGCCTAGCAGTATAAAGCTGGTAGGAATGCCTTGGTCGCAGCAAAGCTCTGATGAACGGAGATGCGGAGCTCCACCACACAGCCCATCGACAAGGGATCCACGTTGCTGATGTGCAAGTCAGTCAGAACATGTAGCCATGTACAAAGTTTACGTGACACAGCCCGTTGCTGAGGGAACTGTCGCAAGATGCCAACGTTGACTACTGGATGATTTTCACGTGATATAGCATTCATCTGTATGCGTTCAGATTGCGGTACCCGAGCAAGATGAGTTTGTAGGTGGATGCTTGTTGTCTCGATGTTGGCATGGCGCCACTTCTCTGACCTATCATGCTCTTGTCTCTTCATTGCTGCTTTGCGCACTTGGGTTCTTCCATCCCTCCAGACAAGGACCTCAGTGTCAGCTTCCATTGTCGTGTGTCGCTGCGTCGGCGTGCGTGCGGGTGAGTGCATTGTGCCAAGCGTTGCGCGGGGTGTGTGCAGGGGAGGGTGGACGTGCATGTTAAAACACGTCGTCCCGCGCACTCTGCCATATAGCAAGCCTCAGGACGCCACATCCTGATTGCGGTGTCGGGCTTCTCGCGATACGATTCTCACAACTCTTCGAGCTGCCTTCCAAGCAGCCAGCTGCCAGATTCATGTGTGCGTAAGCTCATCCCTGACTGCCATGGGTGGGGGTCTTCATGGCATGAAGTGAAGCACGCAACGTTGCACGACCCACCTCCATGGCAAAGTCTTCCGACCCCAACAATGCTTGGACTAAGTCGGGCACACGCACCTGGGATGTTGAAGAGCAAAACGAGGATGCGAGACTCTGCTCATCTTTCTCTGCACCAAGCCCAGCGCGACAGCTTCAACTTCCCCGAGCTGAGAGCTTGAGGAACGAACCTTTTCTTGTTTGTCGGGTACCACCAACATGAAACACATGGAAACAACAGATCTGTTCACCTGAAGCTGGGCGAAGATGTCCGCAGCACCCCGACCTGAGGTTTTAAGCGGACGTGCTGGAGGGGTTTCAGGGTGCGACACAATCCCTGCTTCTTGTAGGAAGCCACACGGGTCAGCCATGGCGTCTTGACCTGGCCAAATTTCTTGACCACACGACGAAACTCAATCCGGTGCAACACAAGCTCAAAGAAGAGGCCGAAGAATAAATGCCGAACCACCCGGGCGAGGAGTCGCCCTGCAAACTCCGTCCAGCTTAGCTCTGCTCTTGGTCCGCCCAGGAGTGCCTCCACTCAACGATTCACCATTCACCGATGTGCACAACTTCCCCCCCCCCAAGTGCTCCCAGGGTGGGGTGGTTTCGCGGGCTTGCAGTGGCAGCAGAGGCAGCTTTGCAGCTTTGCAGCTGGTACTGAAAGCGTTATGAAACGATGCTTTGGCCCGGCAGATTTGCGGGACAATGGCCTCTGCATATCTGCATTGAGTAATGCAGAAGGCCTCTGTTTAAAACTTGCGGAAACTATCAAAAAACCAAGCAGACGCAAGCAGTTCATTGCTGGTGCTTTGCCCGCTCTCGCCAGTGAAGAAAAGTCTCTGATGCTTTCGGCTCCGCATCAAGGGCCACACCACGGCTGGCAGCCACAACAGCCAATGCCTCGCGGTAATTTGCTGCCATGTGATTTGCAATTCCCTTTGGAGCCAGTTCGATGTAGCCGATCTCAGGGAAGTCTGTAGCACTTCCTGCCGAGATTCTCTGAGGTTGTTCGGTCAAGACAACGGATGAGGGGTTCAACCGAAAGAGTCCAAAACTGGAGTGAAGAATTTGAAGCGTTACGGGAGGATTCGGCCGAGGGTCCAAGCCAAGCCAGCCAGTCACCGGGGCTGGTGCCGGCATCCTTGGATGCCTGGGACGCCTCGGGGGGATCCTTTTCATCTGTCTCCGCATCCTGGGCGCGCAAATGCCAGAAAATGAAGTTGACTCGATTTTGCAACTTGTGCGCAAACTGTGCGAAACCATTGATGTTCTTTGCAAGCGCCGGGCCTTGCCCAGGACGTGGTGCAGCACGACCAACTTCCCGGGGAGCTGCTGATCAGTCTCGCGTGAACTTTTGCTTGTGGCCAAGCTAATCACCTCGTCGACCTGGGGTTCGTCCGTCAACATTCCCAATTTTCGATAATGTTGGGAATCCCTGTATCTACGCATTTCATGCTAGTCTCATCTGGCCTGCGCCTAAGCGCCTGAGACCCCGACGGAGGCACCCTTGCCGAGCAAGGATAGGCGGCCAAGATTTTGCATACTGATCTGCCACGGGCCGGAACAAGCCAGAAGGAGGGAATCTAGGGAGAGCTGTAGAGATTGAGACCGGGGATGGACGGGGAGGAGCTGGGCATGGGGCAGCCGAGGCGCACGAGGCACAGCATCATCGTTGCAAATGAAACCTCAGCGATTCCCTTCACGATCATCATGCCTTTGACATACCCTGAGTGCCACCAGGATGCTCAAGATGAGCGGATCCTCGTCTTCTGCGCTCTGCGCACACAGTCCAGCATTCGTCGCATCCATGCCTCAGACGGTTCTTCTGAACAGGCATGGTATCCGACTGTTTCTGGGCTTGGCACATGGCCCGCAGGAACAACGAGAACAACCCCATAGCCAAAAGATACCAAGGCAGAAATGCCTGCCAGCCGAGCACAGACGGCATGAGTGTCCGAAATTCCGAAAACTCCGTACGCCGGTGTGTTGCGGTGCTACCGCACGAGAGGCTGGTTAGGAGTCACAGTTTGCCAGCAGCCAGCAGCTGCCAGCAGCTCAGAGCTGCCGAGGAGCATGGGCAAGGTGCGAAAGCCACACATCGCAGCGAGGCAAGCTGGGCACTCCTTAGAAAGGCAAAAACACGTAAAGAGAATCCAATGTGTTTTGCTTCTTGCTCTGTTTGCTCCACTTACCCTGTGGATGTTCTTTTCGGCTTTCTTCGTCAGACGCACCATCCGCTCATCGAAAGACTCCACCAGAAAACTAGATGCCTAGATGCATATAGATGTGCTCCATTCTGTCAGATACGAAAGCTCTGTCAGCAAGTAGCAGGGACAAGGAAACCTTCTGCCAGGACGCCAGCCGGCCATTCGCGCACGCAAGAGCCGGGTAACCAAGCAGGCGGTGCTGGCACCCAAGCTGTGCCCAGTGACAGTTAGCCCATATCCGAGGGGTGCCAGCAGGTCCCTGACAAGAGGTTCCAGAGAGCGAACCGAATCTTCATGATTGTACATCAGCCATAAGTCAGATTCTGCCACCTGATAGGGGGAATGATTCGCTGCAAGACGGACTCGGCCGAGGTCAAGAAGCCGGCATGGGCATACCTGACAAGAATAAAGAGCAGACTTCTGCACTTTCGCATCCTGCGGATGATGCCAGATTTGTGCCAGAATGCAGTTTGCCAGCTTCCAAGTCCCTTTCCTCTATGTTGCCTGCCAGGTCCTTGGCTCTCAGAACTTTGACCTTCGGTGCACTTCGAGAAAATATTCTCCGGGGCACTGTCAGCGCATCAGCCGGTGTTTTTGTGCCTAAGACAGCAAAGAGGAACCCAGGGTGCTGGACTTTGTGCATGTGCGTGTCGTGAATTGTCGGATCGGGAGTGAAGCCACACGTCGCGAAGCCACACACGTGCAAGGCAACCCTGCAGAACTTGGGAGATGTGCCTCGAACAGAAAGGATCGCTTCCTTTTTCTCAGAGTCGAAGCACAGGAAGTGCGCCGGCTTCCCGGGCTTGCTTGTAGCTTCCAGCACGAGAACCTGTACACAAACTCCGAAGTAACTTGGCGGACGCACTGTCCTTTCTGATTTCTGCACTTGCCGGATCTCATGTGGGCATCATGTGGGCGTGTAAAGCACTTGAACTAAGCACCAAGCTTGGTGCCCACGCTCTTGACCTGAATAGCCCCACGGCAAGGGCGAACAAACAGGCATGGTCAAGAAACAAAAACTTTGGTTCGGATAGAAAAGCGGAGTATGGCCATATTGGCTTCGCCACAGACTTCTTTGAGGGTGTCTGCCTCCTCCAGCAACGCAGGTCTGGTTGGTGGAATGATCACAATGGTACTCACACGAACCATCATATGCCAGCTCCAGCCTCGTAGGTGACCTCGGCATAAGGAAGTAGCTTGAGGCCTTCCTCGAGCGCTGCCAAGGGAACATCCTTCGATGCAGCACCTTGGTTTGAGATTGAAAACACACAAGAAACACCATGGGGGGGGGGAGGTTTCTACTGGAAAGCTCAGAGCAAGTTTCAAGAAGTCATTTAAGTAGCCGGGAAGGACCCGATATCAACGTGGAAGCCGGCTCAAACTGACGCGAGACATCACCAGAGACCGCATTTGGATGAGCGCGTTTTGCACACAAATTGCATTTTGCTTCCTATCTCCGTTTACCCGCCTATTTCTGAATATCAGTTGGCTCATTTGGCACCAGGCACCCGTTTCATCCAACAGAGCTCGAGCCTCGCTGTAAGGACGACGGTCAGAGCAAGAGAGGTCAATGAGACGCCGGAGCATGGCGAAGTTGCCCTCCACCTTGTCTGAGATGTAGACCCTTGGAAAACAAATACAAGCAATATTGCGATCATCGTCGAAAGTTCTTAGAGGAGCAGCCGCAATTCGCGAATGCCGAGATATGCCCAGCTTTGCTGAGTGGCTCATCCGCTCCCAAGCGCCCTTGAAGGGTCTCTATGGCTTCAGGGAGCTGCGAGAAAAGTTCAGCGGTTGGACCGGAAAAGACAACCTGACACATCTTGACAAGTTGAATAAACATGCACGCGTGTGTCGCATGGCCAGAGTGACAGTGAGAAGTTCAGTCGCAGAACCAGCCCAAGTCACCCTAATAAGTTCTTCGGCTGTAATAGTTTTCCTTGGCTTGCAGAACAATGCATGACCCTATCTCTACGCTACCAGCTTCAAGCCATGTTAAGATGTGCCAAGAGATGCCAAGAGTCAACTCCCAGCGCTTCGTGGCCGCAACCCAGGCGCCCACACCGGCAGCTGTCGCCACAAGGAAGCCCGTTTTGCCCGCTCGACCCCTCCAGCGTCGGAATGCTAAGCCAACACCGCCTGAGCAGCATCTATGGATACTCGAAACAACTCTCGAATTCTGTCATCCATGTCATCCTCTTTTGAGTATTGTCATCATTCCATATCATTCCTCTTTGTCTTGTTTGTAGCGGCTTTGCCGCGAGAGTCTCCTCTGTACTGAGGCAGCATTACTCTCTTCCCCGAAGCGCCCTCAGCAGTCCTCTCATTGTGCTATTGTGCTGCAAGGGGCTGCCGAGTGTGAGCAGAGGTGTCTCCATGCGAAGTGCTGTCTTACTTTGTGGAATCCTTCTCGCTGTTGCTGGGGAACGTTTAGCTTCCCGCTGGGCAATGCGCAGTGCTGTTACAGAACATATGTTGCAGCGGTGTTAGCCTCCCGAACTCAATGGCCACGTATGGACTACGTATGGCCACTAGACCACCACATTACACAATATCTTGTCGCCCTTCGCTACAGGTCTCTCGGTGCGCCTGCAGCGGCAAGAGCAAAAGCTATGGCATATCTCCATTCCCGGAACTTGTCCACGGTACTGCGTCTCCTGAACGCAGTACCATGACAGGACGACAGCAGCAGCAGCCATGTACCAGCAGCAGCTACCAGTCAAGATCTGTGACTTCTTCTGTGCTTAGTTGCTTCTGTCCTGCGAATTTGACTTCTCAGTCCACCATCGAGTGTCAGCGTCCCGGCCTGCCTGCGGGAGCCGATCCTCCACGCCTGCGCAGTGAGCTTGGCACCTATGGCGCCTGTCGTTACGCTTCCTACTTGTAACTTGTAGGGCACCAGATGCCATCGTGCCTTTGTAGGTGCCTGCGGGAAGCAGCCGGTGGGCCTGACCAGCAGGCCACTTGACACTAGTATTGATTGCTATCACACCAGTGTGCACCATGACAAGTCGCACAGCTGCAAGGCACAAATTCAGGCAATCGATTGCATTGCAGGGCAATGCGATGCCTACGCTGTGCTGTTGCAGACTCTGTGCCTGTACAACAATCTTCTACAGTGATACTTGTGCCTGGCCAAAGGTCACCAGTGTCTTTTCTCATGTATGTTTATAGCATAAGATTTTGTGGTAGTGAGCTTAAACGGAAGTTCCGTGCAAGGCTGTCGCCTGTTCGCGGCCCAAGTCAGTCTTTGCGGCACGTGCGTGACACCACGACCTGCGCAGATGCATCGCTATCGTCATCGTGCTCAAAGATGGAACCTTGTTCGGGGTTGGTGGGTCAAGATGAGACAAGAGAGAAGCTCATGACCCCAGCTTGTTGCGCCTTGTACCGGCCACATGATGCACCGAGGCGTTGCACTTTGGCTATATGCTCCCTGCTCTCGAGCGAAATGTCGGAGCTGCGGGAGAACGACTTTGCGAAGCAGACACACACACACACACACACAACACACAACACACAACACACAACACACAACACACAACACACAACACACAACACACAACACACAACACACAACACACAACACACAACACACAACACACAACACACAACACACAACACACAACACACAACACAACACACAACACACAACACACAACACACAACACACAACACCCAACACCCAACACCCAACACACAACACACAACACCCAACACCCAACACCCAACACACAACACACAACACACAACACACAACACACAACACACAACACACAACACACAACACACAACACACAACACACAACACACAACACACAACACACAACACACAAACCTAAACAGAAGCGTATATGTGTTCAGGGCGCAGCTCTGGGTCGTGAAGCAAGTGCGCCTCAAGATCCTGGAAGATCCAGTTCTTCTGCAGCAGCCATGCACGCAGCCCGGCCAAAGGGCTGAGCACGGTGCCAGTTTGAGGGCCTAGTGGACAAGCTTGCAACATCAAGACTGGCAACGACAGGCTGAGCAACACGGATAAAGCCTGCCGTGAGGTCAAGATTGGAACGCCTGAGGCCATAGCCAGTGGAGAGCCGTGGTTGTGGCTGCAAAGGCTGTAAAGGCTGTAAACATTGGATCTCTGCTGTTCTTGGAGCCCCGCGGACTTGGGCCAGGCTGCCGGGTCTCGAGAAGCCGGACGGCCGCAGCGTGGGCATCCACGGCCTTCGGTGCCTTAAGGCAAAGGTGACACTCGCGTGGCACTGCGCGCATGATTGTTGCAGTCCATGCTGAGCATCTGAGCCTGCTGGTACGCTTGAAGGAGCCGAGAGAACTCCTGGCAAGGGGGCTCTCACAGCTCTGCGGAGCCCTTCGAGAGTCGAAACATGACAGGCATGCCCCGATACTGACCTGCCCGGTGCACTGCCTGAGAAGCATCAACTGCTTGGTGATGCGTTACTCAGACAATCTTCGGGACTAAAAATCGGGACCTGACCCGTCATCAGCTTCTCGAACATACTGCCGAACTCTCCCACAGCACATGTTTTCTCTCAGAAGTTCGAAAATGCCAGGCTGGTTGCGGATCCAAAACATCGAAGAGCTCATGGAGGTCAGCTGGGCTGGCGCAGCCAGGACTATCTGCCAGCAAGGCCTGCAGCAAACAAAGCAACTCACAAATGCCGAGGTGCCTGTCTTAGGTGAGCTTACTGTCGCACCTACTCTTTGCCGCGCCTCGCAGGCTGCGACAAACTCGAAGCGTCCCAAGGCTCCCTCGCCTCAAGAAACCATGCTTTTCACACGTGTTGAACCTGCCATGTCTATGCTCTACAGCAGATACGGCAAGGCTGCACCGTCTGTTGCAAGCACGCCTTGAGTAGTTACCATGGCCACTCAGCACACCCATGACGCTGAAAGCTTGAAGGCTCGCTCCAACGTTTCCACAACCAACATTGCGACACTGGTGCCACACTGTTGCTGTGCTACCATGCTACCAGACCGGGACGGTAGCAAGACAAGAGTACATGCTGACTCATGGGTATCTCGAGGCACAATAAGAGCCGGAATGCTGCAACAACAGCCTTGCATGAAGAAACCATCAGCAGTTCTGCAATGTCATCTGCAATGCGTGCAGTACCCTCAGTGCCTGGTGCTGGTCACATTTTGGTCTTTGAGGCTACTGAAGCCCGAGCTTAAGAGTAGTCCGTCCGAAAGAACATCACACATCACTGCGGTACGTGAGAACACCCGGGCACGAGGTAAGTGCCACGGAGCGGTACAAGTACAGTGGATGCACAATGACACTAATGTGAAACGCGATCGGCACTGAACTGGTGCTTTGAATTCCTGCGGGCTCGTGCAGCAGGAGCTTCGACGGGCTCGTGCAGCAGGAGCTTCGACGGGCTTTGAGCTATCTTGAATGGGAACAATACACTTGCCCCTGCTTGATGGGTCCAGTGACCTGCGTGTGCTGGCTAGAGCCAGACTCTATGCACATGCTCGCGCAGCTAAAATGAAAGTGAAACACAAGGAGCCAATTCCTGGCTAGCTTCGCGCAGATGCATCTTAACGATGTCTCATGGTCACCAGCGAAGGACCAAGCGAAGCCTGTTGCATTTGTCCACCTTTGAAAGCATTTCAAGGCGAACGCAGAGGCCTATTGCCTCGAGCCAGGCGTGTCAGCATCTCCTGGCTACGACTTCGAGGGGCCGGCCCAGAAGCCACGCCAAAGCCCATACTCTGGGTCATGGTATTTGGGTTCGACCTGACATGGTCACGGACTTTCACGCAGATGCGGCACGTCGTTGAATACGAAGCGGGTTTCTTGCAACTTGCTAGAGGATCCAGCCTGAAATCCATCAATGGCCAGATGGGCACACAGCATGGCTCCAACCTCCTGAAACGTCCAAAGCGCAGTCTACGAGTTGGACAGCAGGTTCCCCAGCCCACAGCCGAAAGGGTCCGAAAGGGTTCTCAACTTGCAATATTCCTGCGCTTGGCGAGTAACCTGTCGGTAGCACCCTCCGTCAGCACAGCAAGTGCAGTCCATTGAGTCTCCTTGGTGTGCTGCGGCTCAGATGCCACCACTTCGAACAGTGCCTTTCCGCACAGAATTCCGCACAGAGTGCGGGTGGTTTGGTCTATCTTTCTGCGTCAGGGCCTCACATCTTACCAAGTGGAATTCTGCTAGATGCTCGGTTGATCTTCTCTGCATGGGCCTATGCAAACTACATTCCTAGGCATGGCCTGCAATGCCACGTCATCTGTGGGAATCTCCGTGTAGCAGGCTACGCACCCGGCTTCTGCAGCTTGAACGACTGCGGGATGGACATACCTCGCGGGTGAGGGCCTTAAGGGTTAGGATTTCGATTGGGGCCTTAGATGTCTCTACTCTCTTCTTCGTCTTTCCTCTTATTCTTATTACTTTTGTTCCTACGAGTCTGCCACTTTCCTCGCTCTGTTGGTGGTGTAGTTCAGCTCCGTAAGCGTTCCCATTACAGTTAGGCCTTCGGACGGGTTCGCACCCAGGTGGGTTCCGACATGAGACAGAACGGCTACCATCTTTGCTTCTTCTTGAAAATTTTCTTCGTATGGCCACTCTCTAGCTGCTCACGTTCAAAACAGCTTCATTGTTCATCCTGTGAAGCCGATGGCTCCGAATATAAGTCAGACAGCAACAAGTAAACAGCAGCAGGCTCATGTGCTTATCCTCCTGCCTGGCCACCAGCGCGGCCAATGCCGACTGTCGCAGCAGACCCTTCCAAGAACAAGCAGTAACTATCATCTCCTGTGCTATGCAACGAGTTGCCATTCCGGTGGAATTCTGCTGCTTTTGCACCAGATGCTTCTAGACAGAGCATCTCTGCGACCTCGCTTCGCTTCAGCTGGCGCTGGGCACATTCAGCAATCTGCTTTGCTCTTGCCTTAGACACATCTTCACCAATCAACTCGATGGCCAACATCACAAAAGCACACATGCAACAAATGCAGCACAAACGCCCAAAGGTGCCCAAAGCCAAGTTGACTGGTGGCGATCCGACCACCGCTCCCCCAACAAACTTCCGTATCCCCTGAGCCACTTCCCAGGGCGCTTCCCCTGGTCGCGGATAAGAGCCCCCCACCCCTTGCAGCCAAGCTGCGGCATTGATGGGGCCCCACACGTGTCTGCCCCCTATGAAGGTCTCAATACGAAGTTTCACTTCTGGGGGAAGGCTCATCTGCAGAGCGCACTCTGGAACCCCCAGGCGATGCCCAGAGAGACGTCGCACGCACAACAGCCAAGTGCAGACTTGGGCTTTTCGCATCTCACGAACGATGGCCTGGACGGGTGGAGCTCAAGTGAGGTTGGGCTTCAGAAGCTGCAACCTCCTAAAGTCCTAAAGCTACTCTGCAGGCAACACGCACGATGTAGCGCCAGATTCCTCGTCGGCAAAATGTGAGGCTGCACAGAGCCACTTCTTGAAATCGTTGAGAGAAGCGTGCGGCCCACAGCTGCAGAAGCGACGCTGAGCTTCCTGCAGAAGTGCAGAACATGCTTAGGGAGTGCTCTCCGAATGCTCTCCGAATGCCTCATGTGATGGCTTCGTAGGAACTGAGAAGGCACATCGGAAGCACAAGCTTGCATGTCTGTCGGATTCTGTCGGACAGGCTGCAGATTCTGTCTTCTGTCGGACCGTAGGCTGCAGCAAGACTTGGAGTTTCGATTCTTTCTTTTGCAAGGGTGCCTGCAGGAGCCTCTCTTCATGGAACCTCTCCAGGTCGACCAGCCATGACTGGAACGCCTCCTTACACACGCGAACAGGAGTTGCCGCACATGACAGGGATTTAAGTCTACAAGGCGAGGACAGAACCATTCTGAAAGATGTCTCACAAAGCTGATGTCTCAGAACTTTATCTCAAGTTGCACTGGGCCCTCGCATACTCGTGGCCGCGCTGGCCGGGCCCAGGTTGGCCGAGAGCAGCTCCACGCGGCCGCTCGGTACTGGTCCGATGGCTGCCATGATGGGCATCCTCCGAGAGACCAATAAATACAAGTACTCACGCCATGTCTTGTACTTCAAATCAGATGTCATATGTCATATGCAATGCGTGTACAAGTCGGTTCGGAATGTCCTCATGGGAGGCAATTCCACAGCCATCTGCTGAGTGTGGAGTAGCGGTGGCGCTGTGCTGCTGCCTGGAAACAATACGAATGCCCACACGCTTGCATCTAATTACCGAACAAGAAGGTGGTCCATGTGTCTTGCATCGTGGCAATGCAACAGCCTGCAAGGTCCCCATGTGGGAAGCCCTGCGCTTCCAGAACTTGCTCCCACGGGGATCGCTCCTGCGCCAAGCTTCCGATCTCAGCACACGCTGAATTCGCTGAATGTCATGTTCCCTAGTCCTGGAGCACAGTTTCTGATCCGGCCAGGTTGGCCTGCTTGCGGTCTAGAGAACAGCCCACACTGAATCACAACATTCCCCTTGATCTCTGTGCCTGCACTCTCGGAGGCGCAGGCGGTAAGTCGTGTGGAGCAACTGGTAGTGCACTCGCGCCCTCTGGGTAGCCATCCTGCAGCTCCGCATCTCAGAAACCCTAACGGGCCTGACGTGCATCGTCTGTGGAGGCTTGTGGGGTTCTGTGGAGTAAGAACAACGGCAAGGAGCGGGAGATGGGTGCACCAGGTACCTGACCAGCTGCTCCTGCAAAGCAGGAACTGTGAGTGACCGCCCCCATGCAAACAACAAGGAACCAACATACTAGACCCTGGTGCTTCAACATCTCGGAGCCTCTTCGGTCCATCCAGCAGCCACAGCGGCACCCACTTCCATGGCGTGGGTCAAGCTGCAACTAAAGAGTTTGTAAAAGTTTGTAAAGTGGGAAAGTTGAAACTTGCTTGCTGAACTTTTTCATGATTCTGACAACAGTTCAGGCTGGCTGCTCCCAAGCGCTTCACACGTGGGAGCCGACGCCATCTACATTAATGCACTACATGTTGGGAAAAACTTCACAGCTTCTGGGCCACAAAGCCACAAGTACAGACTTGCGAACAAAGGTGGGCCTTTACACCATGTGACCGCGTGCATTGCGGTGTGCAGTGGCGGAAGCTCTGGTTTTGTGCAGCGACACGCATCGACGAAGGTGTTCACACGGTTCTGAGAGCATCGCCCGCAGCTCTTTCTGGAGCCTCTGCATTCTCAGGTTTCAAAGGCATCTTCGGACGCTCCGCAGGCGGTCCTGATGAAGACGGTCTCTATGCTTCACACACGCTTCGCACATGCTTCGCAGACACAGACATATCTATGGTGTAGACATCCTGGAACTAAGTGCAACGCCATTGTAGCCAGTATTCATGTGGGCCGAGAACCTCAGCACTGAGCATGGCAAACACCAAAAAGCCTGCCTTACAGTGCTACAGCAGACGCACAGGAACATCAGGACAATGCCAGGACCATGCCAAGACACTGCATCGCGAGCAAGAGGAGCATCAGCCGCCAAGACCTGCACAAAGCACGCGCACTGGTGTCAAAGGCCATCACAATGCATATACACGCAGCTACCTGAACTCCAAAAGCCATTCCAAGCCCTTGCGTCTCAAATTCATGTTTTTGGATTCCAAAGACGGTCCCAAACAACCCAACACTTCTACTTCTCAACACGTACCGGCAGCAACAGCCTGGTGGAAAGGAGCCATAAGACTGCAATCACCATCAGCACCTGTCCCTCAGCAGAAGCGTCTGATCTCATGATTACCGATGCCGCAAAAAATGGTGTAGTTCAGGGCCGTACTGCTGGAGAAAGTGTCCAAAACACCTCGTTTCAAGCTGAGGCAGCTTGCACCTGTGAAGCTTTCGTGCAGACACTTTCCTCTCTGAATGCAGCGGGGCCACATCTGGTGGCTGAGATGCCATTGCACACTGGAGCGGACAGTGAGCAAAGATTGCTAACGAGTCCTCTGTGCCTCAAACATCCTGAACTCCAGGATGAACATCAACTACGTTAGCCGTCTGTTATGTGCCAGATGTTGTTGTTCATCATCATACAAGTAATTGCACACCACTTCTCGAAGTGCCACCCTAGCCGTGCAGAATCTCTTCTTCATATTGATCAAGAAGCAACCCTTTGCAATGGAATGATTGCGACCGCTTCGGCAATGTCAAGACAAGGATAGAACAGGGATCTTGCTTGCAAATACGGAGTTGAAGTTGGCAAAACAGGTTCATCAACAGCCAATCTTGCCCTTACCTGACAAGCGGGAGCCCTGTCAAACTCCCATGAGCACATAACAGCCCTGCGGCAGTATGACAACCTAAAACCACACAGAATTTCGTCACCTGTTCTCTTACCTCACCCTTTTCGTCAGTTCTCGCCTCCACTTTCGTTTCGTCCTTTCCCCAATCCTTGCCATCGTAGCCTCATCCATTTTGATTCAACCTTCTCAGCAAACTCATCCTGTCTCATTTGTGTTGAAGCATTCCTTGAAAATTGATCGTTGAAAGCAATCAGGTCAAAACCGCTCATGCCGCAGCATGCTTGACGCTTGCAGCTTTTCAGCATGAACCGGCTATGTGGCGGTGAGAATGGCCCAACACTCGCTCCAACGGATCGTCGCATGGATTTGCTGATGCCTCGTCAGGCAGTAAGGTGACTTCACTACGAGACGACGAACGACAGAACTCCATCCGAGGAGATGAGAAATCTTATTCAGATGGCAAACAACGAAACCAAAGTCGGGATCAGGTACGGTGTGAAGAAGGCGATTGAATTAAGTTGGTTTTGCTTTACTACCTCAACGACATGATCAGCGACATCAAAAAGAAGCACGGCAAGACACAAACAAGAAGGACGACAACAAGGACAGCAAGAAGAACGACGAGGACAGCATGAAGAGGACGATTTCTATGGGCAACTTTTCCGACCTTCGTGATGTTTTTGTTGGCGCTTGCAAGGACGTCAAGAAAGGCGACTACAAGAATGTCACCCAGTTGGTTGACAACAGCATCCACGGCAAGGCGGGCATCACGATGTGAAGTATGATGGACATCGATGAGATCGAGGCTATCTTGGATAAATAAAAAAAGAATTTGGATGTAGCGGGACAAGGGTACATGTAAAGCGGCTTGCAAAAGCAGAGCACTTGACGACTTAACTTTGGATTGAGCCGTTTGTGATGTTCTTTCGGTAGTCTTTGTGTAGCCCCCAAGCCCTCGCCTTGAAGCAAAAGGTGAAACCCTACATCTCCATGCTCAACAAGACTGACTCAGTGAAGGACTTGATAAGTCGCTCCAAGAAACGTGCGTCTGAATTGTCTTTGGATGATGTGGTGCCATTGACAGACAACATTACATTACCGCTTCACCTCAAAATCGTGCCAAGCTCAATGAGTTCGGTGAAAGCTTGAACATCAAGAAGCTCTAGTACAAAATGGCATTGGTTTTTTCGACGAAACCCAGTTAATTAAAGCAAATGGCAGATGCTCTTAACCGTCTTAACCCAAAACCAAGTTCCAATGTTCAGAAGCCCTTGGCATCACTTGCGAGAGTTGCGTTTATAGAAGTGACCGAGATGGAGATTACGTTGACCCGTATTCAACGCACGAACCAGCTTATCCTGCTCTTCATCCATGCCTTCGCGTCAGAAATTAACAAGGAAACTCCAACACCGTTAGCTTTGACCTTGAGTCGATGAAACAGCCAGTGGGTGCGCGATTAAACTTCGCATTGAGTTGAGGCGTCGGTCATCTGCAAATTCGGTTAATGAAGCTCCTGCTGTTTTCTGCTATTTGATACAACTTTTAAGATGCCAGCAGGCATCACTTTCAAAAATCCAAGACCAATATCCGAGATTGAAGACTTGTCAAACTCAAAAGCCGAGACAAGCGAACCCAAAATAAGAGATTGAAGACCTTCCAGTCCCAAATCCCTTCCAGCCCCAAGATCCGAGACCAGCAGCCTCAAAATCCGTGATTGCCATTTTCCTGAATGCGACGCAGAAGTCACGAGGATGAGGAGGGGTCATTTTGACCATGTCCAAATGTCTCGGCCGTGGTTCTAAGGTACTGACAACACCGTCACTTTCCAGCCCCGCCTGATGAAGCAGTGCACTGCATTGGGTAGAGGCTTCAGGGTGAGTCTTCAAGCCTGCAGACACGGTGCCCAATATGTTTGGAAGCTGAAAAAGGGACCTTGCCCCCTCTGCACTCGTGTGTCAAATCAAGGTATGAGATGGCGCTTTCCTTCTGCTAGGTGCCTTCAGCAAAGAAAAAGCCCTACCTGACGTTAGTGGAAGAACTGACCACCGTTTGTCTGCTTGTGCAAAACTTTGGCTACGCCTGGGTCCGCAATGCACAAGCTTGCTTGGGTACGCAAGCAAGATGCTCTACTCGTGACAATGCGCAAACGCAAAGGCCGTCGAGCACGCTGTAGTAAGGCATTGAAGTATTTTTTTCCGGGAGACAAGCTACGAAGAGAGCGCTCCAGCAAGTGTTGCAGGCTGGGTCCCCTTGTGGCATTAAGAGGGTTCCTGTGCAATGGTGCAGGCCTCAGAGTACCTGCATGCGTGCAAGACGGCAGAAACCTTCGGAAGTCGCATTGATGTGCTTAGAGAGACATTGATCGCAGTCCCCGCAATAAACTGCCGCCTGCATGACCGATTCCGCGGCTTTTTTGGAATGGCTAAGGCAAAGGATGGATTCCAACGTGGAGTTCGCTGCGAGGCGGCACTTTTGCACCCGCATGCACAGTTTGTTTTGCCCCGTGAGGGCATATCTCTTTGCTCCGTCCTGGCCTCCGGCGGATCAAGTCCAGCATGGCAGACAATTTTTTTTTTAAACGGGCGCCTCTTTACTACATCAGTAGCACAGTAGGCCGTTCTTGTGGGGCTTGCAACTAGGTGTGATTTTTTTTTTCCTCTGGTGCCTCTTTACTACATCAGTAGCACAGTAGGCCGGTCTTGTTGGGCTCGACGAAAAGGGTGAAACTGAGTCAGCGCACACAACCCGCCAGACACAACACGAAACCACCAAAGAACAGACACCGAAGAAACAAAGCGAGCAATCGCGCTAAACTACTAGATACCCCACGGACTCAGTACTCGAGGTCGTCAATGAAGTCCCGGTTCACAAGGAAGCACGGAGCTTGTGGGGGAATCGCAAATTGCGACATTGCCAGATTCTCAAAACCACCATCATGTAGCCATTGGTGCGACAGCGGTTATTCAAACCGAGGTCATCAGAAGAGGTTCGGATCACGTACTCGTTGTCAAGAACAGACAACCGACACTCAATGGCGAAAGGATGTTGCAAGTCTGACTCCCTAGGGGGGATGAAAGATGTGCCAATGCCCCATGGTGGTCAGCCAGTGGGGACTTAACAGCAAGAACAATCAAGGCAAGACCGGCCCAGGGCGCTCCATGGTGGTCAGCCAATGGAGTAGCTCCGAGCACAGAGTTCACCAGTCAACCTGGCGCACAAGTGCCCACCCTCGAAGGTGCCCGCGCACGGCCAGAGGGGGGGACGAGAGTAGCATCAGCTACCGATTACCTGGCGCACAAGGGCCCACCCTCAGAGGTGCCCGTGCACGGTCAGAGGGGGGTCCAGAGTAGCAGCAGCTACCGATTCATCGGGGAAAGTCCACGGCGAGTTATCAAACCCTTAACGCCACAGGGTTTTAATGACACCGAGGGACCTCCCAGTCCAAGCATCTCGCACAAGGCTACGCCACTTTAGCACTGGCCTGCGCATCGGCACGCATCAGGTCCCTTCACTCAAACCCGCGAGGTACGCCGGTAAGGAGACTGGAGGGCTCACATCACCGTCATGCAGCCACCAATG